AACGTCGTTGAGCGTCTGCCCCCTTCGTCCTTGTACGAGAACGCCGTCAACATCACGGGCCACCCTCCCAAGCCGTACCTCGCCTACAAGGTCGTCCTGAACGATGCCACTTTCCAGTACCAGCTCGTCCCCCAGGGCAACATGTGGATCCAGTTCTTCCTCTGGCTGCTTCTTTTCATCGTCCCCGTCCTCTCCGGTCTCGCCGCCGTTCAGGCCTTCAAGCGCTCCTTCTACAAGGTCAAGTTCAACGAGCACGGTGTTCACGACCAGTCCAAGTTCAACATGATGGTCCAAAAGACCCGCAACGTCTTCATGGGCGCCGCCGGTGCCATTCCTCTCAGCATGCGCAGCTCGACCGATCTCGTCTCCGCCGCCGCCGCGGCTACCGCTGGCAACAAGCGCAAGACGGTGCTGATTGCTACCATGGAGTACAACATTGACGACTGGAACCTCAAGATCAAGATTGGTGGTTTGGGTGTCATGGCCCAGTTGATGGGTAAGGCTCTCAAGCACCAGGACCTCGTGTGGGTCGTGCCCTGCGTCGGTGATATCGAGTACCCCATCGATCAGATCGCGCCGAGCATGTACGTCAAGATTATGGACCAGGAGTACGAGATCAAGGTGCAGTACCACGTTGTGGACAACATCACCTACGTTCTGCTCGACGCGCCCGTCTTCAGGAAGCAGACCAAGTCGGAGCCTTACCCCCCTCGTATGGACGACTTGGAGTCTGCCATTTACTACTCTGCCTGGTAAGTCCCATGACAATGTTTTGGTCGCCTAGACGATTGTATGCTAACCAGCCTTGAAAGGAACCAATGTATCGCCGACACTTGCAACCGTTTCCCCGTCGACATGTACCATATTAACGATTACCACGGTTCCATCGCTCCTCTGTACCTGTTGCCCAAGACCATTCCCGTCGCTCTTTCTCTTCACAACGCCGAATTCCAGGGTCTCTGGCCCATGCGTACGCCCGAGGAAAGCGCCGAAGTGTGCAAGGCTTACAACTTGGATATCGAAATTGTCAAGAAATACGTCCAATACGGTTCAGGTAAAGATGATCTGTCTGGACAAACAACTTTGACGCTCGGTTACTGACAAACCATACAGTCTTCAACCTTCTTCACGCCGGTGCCTCTTACCTCCGCGTCCATCAGAACGGATTCGGTGCCGTCGGTGTCTCCCGCAAGTACGGTGATCGTTCCTTCGCTCGTTACCCCATTTTCTGGGGTCTCTCCAAGGTCGGCCAGCTGCCCAACCCCGATCCTACCGATACCGCCGACTGGGACAAGAACGACTTCATGAACCAGCCCAAGATCGAGGTCGACCCCGTCTACGAGGCCGGCCGTGGTGACTTGAGACGCCAGGCCCAGGAATGGGCTGGTCTCAACGTCGATCCCGATGCCGAGCTCTTTGTCTTCGTCGGACGTTGGTCACTGCAAAAGGGTGTCGATCTCATCGCCGATATCTTCCCCTGGGTTCTCGACAACTACCCCAAGGCTCAGCTCATTACCATTGGCCCCATGATTGATCTCTACGGACGCTTCGCCGCTCTCAAGCTCGCCAAGCTCATGGAACTCTACCCCGGACGTGTCTTCTCCAAGCCCGAATTCACCGCTCTCCCGCCCTACATCTTCAGCGGTGCCGAGTTTGCCCTTATCCCCTCCAGAGACGAGCCTTTCGGTTTGGTCGCCGTCGAGTTCGGTAGAAAGGGTGCTCTGGGTGTCGGTGCCCGCGTCGGTGGTCTCGGCCAGATGCCCGGTTGGTGGTACACGGTCGAATCGACCAAGGCCGCCCATCTTACGAAGCAGTTCAAGCACGCCATCAAGGACGCCCTCGACACGGATACCAAGACCAGAGCCATGATGCGTGCCTGGTCCGCCAAGCAGCGTTTCCCCGTCGCCGAGTGGCTCGAGAAGCTCGAGAAGCTCCAGCAGGGTGTCATCAGCGCTCACGCAAAGTACGGTAAGAAGGGTCTCAAGAAGGGCAACGTCCTCGTCAAGAAGACCCGCCCCGGTTCCATCCAGGAGCCTCTTCGCGGTGAAGTCGAGCTTGTCGACCGTTCCCCCGCGTGGATGCGCCAGGTTTCCGATTACGACGACGACGGCACTACCCTTCACACCGGTCGCACTACTCCGGCCGGCATGCAGACTCCCATGAGATACACCAGCACCCCCGGATCGCCTTCCATGTCACCGTCTCCCGCTTACGTCGACTCACCGTACGGCTCTCGCGCCGGGTCTCCTGGCCCGTTCGGCAGGCAGATGGAACATGGTCGCAACATCTCCGATACCCACAGCCGCAACTTCTCCCTTCCCGGAACGGCTGGCCAGGACGGAGTCCACAGCCGTACTGTCTCTGGCTTCTCCGTGGCCGATACTTTGCCCCTCCCTCCCCCGGGTGGCGGTCTCGGCATGCAGCAGGACAACTCTTCGCGAGCCTCCATGCTCAGTGTCGAGGACGTCGTCGGTGACAGAAACGATTACAAGCTCCAGCAGGTCGATCCCTTCTTCACCGACTCCAAGGGTGAATTCTACGAGCACTTTGAGGAGAAGCTCAAGGCTCTCAACGCCGGCAACTCCATTTCTGAGCTCTGCATTGAGGACTACCTCATCAAGTCCGAGAAGGAGTGGTTCGACATGTACCTCGACGCTAGGTTGGGTCGCTCCGCGTCCCCCTCGTCGGCTCGAGGACACTCCAGATCCAGAGCCTCCTCGCCCAACGCCTCCCGCCTGAGTCTCGGCATGTTCAAGAACAAGTCCTCTTCCAAGCTGAGCTTGCCTCTCGAGCGTGGTCGCGCCAGAAAGTCGGGATTGATGAACAGCATGGCCGCCGACGACCCGAACGGCGCCTACGACAGCAGGACACCCCCCGACTCGCCCGGCTCGTACAACGCGCAATTCGACCTCCCCGATGACTACGTCGCGCCCACTGGTGTGAGGAAGTGGCTCCAGTACCGTGTCGGCGATTGGCCCGTCTACGCGATGCTTCTGGCCCTCAACCAGGTCATCGCCACCAACTCCTACCAGGTAACTCTGCTCACTGGTGAAGTTGGCCAGACCGCCGAAAAGCTCTACATCATCGCCACCATTTACCTCGTCTCGTCCGTCTTCTGGTACGTCCTGTCGCGCACCATGCCTCTGCTCTACCCGCTCTCGGCTCCCTACGCCGTCTACGGCGTCGCCTTCCTCGTCCTCGGCTGCTCCCCCTTCGCCGGCGACAACACCATGGTCTGGCTCCAGAACGCCGCCACCGGCCTCTACGCCTTCGCTTCCTCTTCTGGATCCCTCGCCTTCGCCTTCAACTTTGGTACCGACGGTGGTTCCACCGTCCCCAAGTGGATCCAGCGTCTCGCCATCATCCAGGGCCTCACCCAGCTCTACACCCTCGCTCTCTGGGCCTGGGGTAGCTTGGTATCCGAGGCCGAGGCCAACAGCGTCGCCAAGCCCACTCTCGCCGGCAAGCCTGCCCTCCTGGGCATCTGCCTCCCCGTCGCCGTCCTCCTCTGGGCCATCGGCGCCATCCTCTACCTCGGCCTGCCCGACTTTTACCGCCAGACCCCCGGCCCCATCCCCCAGCTCTGGAAGACGCTCATAAAGCGCAAGACCATCGCCTGGTACCTCATGGCCGTCTGCATCCAGAACTACTTCCTCAGCACCCTCTTCGGACGCAACTGGTTCTTCCTCTTCGCGTCCCAGCACGTGCCCGTCTGGAGCATGGTCATCCTCGCCCTCTTCTTCTTCATCATCGTCTGGGCCCTCGTCCTCTGGGGCCTGGCCAAGGCCAGCGAGAGCCACCCCTGGCTGTTCCCCATGTTCGCCGTCGGTCTCGGCGCCCCGCGCTGGGCCCAGATCTGGTGGGGTACCTCCCGCATCGGTCTCTGGATGCCGTGGGCCGGAAGCGCCGTCGCTGGTGCCGTCCTCAGCCGTGTCCTCTGGCTGTGGCTCGGCGTCCTCGACGGTCTCCAGGGCGCGGGTATCGGTATGATTCTCATGCTGACGCTCACCCGTGTGCACGTCGCGGCGGCCTGCGTCGCAGCCCAGGTTCTGGGTTCCATCTTTACTATGTTGGCCCGCGCCACCGCGCCTAACAACGTCGGTCCGGGCCCTGTTTTCCCTGATATCAGCGAAGGATTGGGCATCGCGTTTGCCAACGCCTGGTTTTGGGTTGTGCTTTTGCTCAACCTGTTTATCTGCTTCGGATACTTCAAGTTCTTCAGAAAGGAGCAAGTTAGCAAGCCTTAAAAAGAAGAGAAAGGCTATGAAATGTTTGGGTTAGAGAAGGATAGAAATTTCTTTTCGTTTTTTCTTGAGTAGACATGAACCTCAGTAATGACCAAACTACTATGTTAATAGAGTTAATGACTTGTTATCCCTATCTGTGCCTTTTGATTCCCTTCGTGATACTCAACGCCAAATGGTATTAAGACAAGCGCTCCTTAGATTCCCGAATACGGCGAAGTCGCAAACATGAGGCTTACCGCACAACTGAGCCAACGAAGGCCACGGCACGACTTACGGTACTCGCCTTATCCTAGACAAAGTCCGCGCCGCCCGGTCTATCGTGCCGAAGGGCCATCTGGTGCAAGGGTAAGCATGGTCCGCACGGAAACGCCAACGGCGTTTTAACAACATGTTCATCCGTTCGCACACGTAGGATTACAATTGCCGCATAGGTGCCGGATCATCGGTCCTCTCAGTGGCTCTCTCATCTAGAGCAATAAATGTTAGAAGCGTAACCACCAAAAACCCAGGTACGGCAGGCAACCAAATCTCGTATCGAGTCATGCTAACCCACTGCACTACATGGTGTAAATTGGCACCCGCTCAGATGATAATGATTATGGATTCCGCGCTGACTCGGTTCCGCCCGCCTGATAATCTCGAACAGTCGAAGCTATATCAATTCGGATTCGCTCCCCCTTCCCAGCAGACTTTGACTATTGCAGCTAATTCCATCAACCCTATTACGCGCTTAACTTAACACCAGAAGCCAAAATGAAGTTGTCCATCATAGCCACGATCGCGGCGGTCGCCATCACTTCTACGGAAGCATGTGCCAAGTACAAGACTTGCTGGTATGTACCCCATAATCCTACAAAGTTTCTTAGCGACATTTACTGACTTCCGCGCTACTCAGGTGTGAGAGAAGCAACTTCATGTACCAGGGCAAGCTGCAAGATAACATCGCCTGGGACAAAGACACCGTCAACGCTTGCGTGGATCTCGGAGCGGCTGGATACTACGGACAGAACTTCGAGGAGTGCCACCGCTACAAGGAGTCCTTCTTAGCGTTCATTCCCCCCAAGGCCATTAACAACTGTGATTGGACCAAGGTTAGTTGATATGGTGATCTTGGAGGAGACATAATACTGACTGATACCACACAGAAATGCCAATCGGTTGGTGCGACGACTGGATATTGCCGAGATAAGATTTAGTTACCCCAAAGTTCGAGATAATGATAAATACAGAGTAATGTTTACTTCAACTTGGTCTATTTGCCGAATCATCGGTACCTTGTCACTGCCTTACGGGTCGTTCAGGGACTGGCGCAGATCAGGATTGCAGGTAACTGAGGTCAGTCAGCTGTGAAGATCTATCGCGCATGCATGATGTAGTCCGGCCAAAGATGTTGGCGATGTTGCAACACTTGAATTCCAATGACGCCTGAAGGGACTCGACAACACTAAACTCAACATCTCCGTTACTACGCTAAGCTCCCGTAGTGTGTCAAATGCTACCGAGCAGCTCGTCGTCGACGGTCCGGAACTCCCTTCAAGTTACATGTACAAACTAACCTCATGAACGTTCATCTCCCGTAGCCAGAACCCCCTCGTCGCCTATCAAGCCATATGAGAAAGATATCTCAATTCGCCTCCCTTACTCGGCCTCCGAATCAGTAGGGGGAAGAGGCAGCACCTGCCCATACTTCTCCCCACCAAAAACAGGCATCTCCGCCGCAGTAAGCACAACAAACAACCTCGCCACCTCCGTCTCGCTCACATTCTCTTTCCACCCGTGGATCGTACCCCTCTGCACATACACGTCGCCCCTCTTGAGGATAGCCGTCTCCCCGCTATCCAGCACCAGCACCAGCTCGCCCTCGACCAGCACGCCCGTATCCAGGGTCTCGGTCCGGTGCATCGGCGCGTCCGGTCCGCCGGGCAAGAAGTCGCTGATGCGGACGGCGAGCCCGCCCGGGATGGCGATGCTGATCTCGTGGGGCGGCTTCAGGGTCAGGTGGGTCTTGTAGGCGTTCAGATCGGCGTCTTGGGGGAGCGGAACGGGGAGGGAGGGGGGGAGGTGTAGGCTAGGAAGAGGTCGTTTCCCGGGAGGGGGGTTTTGGGGAGTTCGGGGACGAGATCGGTGACGAGGATTGCTTGGCCTTCGGCGTTGTGGGTTGTGCCTATGCGCCGGGGGGCCGGGAGGGGTTTGTATTTTGGTGCTTGGGATGACATTTCGAGATTATCGATCGAGCTTGGATGATGAATAGTTTTGGGGAATTGTGAGATGGGATTGTCTCAATGGAAGTTGATTTGACTTCATCATGTGGGTCTTGTCAGTTTGCTTATATACTTGAGTAGATCGTTGATGCTAATTAACCCCCAGACGGGTTGATAATTTCTCAGAAAACGCTGCAATCGGTCGGCCGAGGAATATTTCAGAACGACCGAGGCACCGTCGAGAAAACATGCCTAGACCGTACCCCTCAATCCAGGGTCGGTACACCATCTTGCAGGATCTCCGACCGAATCTAGCGGCGGAACTACTCCCCATTCGTTGTTGGGGTTCCCAAGGATCGCTATTCCACCCTGTCTCCAAGTAAAGTACGGCGCAGGATCGATGCGGCGAAGCTTTGATTCGTCGCATGTCGCGGCCCGACGACGTGGTTGAAACGGCCGGAGGTGGGATGGGGACGTCAGCTTACCTCACTGGTAAAGATAGCTTCGCATTCCGGAGGTTGATGAAAGCTCGGATGATGGGCTACGGCAAAGATTATGTGAATCTGCCCAGGTAAGAAGTGATATTTGCGATGCTACAGAGGCCGTACGTGCGTGTGTGTCACCTTGGCCATCTTGTTCCCCCGAATCTCTGTGAGATGTACATCGTGTTCCTCTATGAAGAGCTCGCAATTATATCCGATGTGTGTGATATTGAGTGGTAGCTAGGTGTCTCTCGCGGATTTCGACTACGGGCTTATCGAAATGTGCGGAACATGATGCCTGTGAGGCCTTAACCGCAGCAGATATGTGGCTTTGCCTAGGTCAGTGCTGGAAGATGCCCATATCATAGGTGCGAATCCAACGGGCGACAGCCTGGCAGAGTGAGGTATGACCCGGAGCTTCTGCCGGCGAGTCTTGATGCTACATGTCAGTTTATCGATGTTTCTGCATTGCTGAATGGCAAGAGAAAGGGGTGCGGAGCCCGTCGTTGGGGAAGAGAGATTGGTGAAGTACGGAAGCGTCGTGATATGGAAAGAGTCTGACTTTCTCACGGAGAAAGGAGGTGATCACCCTCAACCAAAGGTCGGTGCCTTCTCCCAGATAGATTTTGTCTAGTTCGAGCAACCGCAAAGCCATGGTCGTGTTTTTTGCTGCTCTTGCCGGCGACCATTGTCATATGTGGCCAAGTTCCTGCCACACCCTTCGTCGCGGATGCCGAGTGAGACCAGCAATTCTTTCCTAGTCCATCATGTACCCAGATGAAGGAAGGCACTGCATCGTTCAGTGAAAGGACGGCATTCTTTGGCTTGTGGACAGAAATGTTGCACTTCCACCAGACAACATCGCCATCTTCTGCATCCTCTGTATCAATCAGAACTGTCCATCAGCACCGCTAAAACCATCATTCTACTACTTCTTCAACAATAACAAGGTTCCCACGCAACTCTCAAACAATGTCCAACTCCGGCGACTCGTTCTCATACGCGCAGTATTTGCACCCAAACGATATCCCCGAGGACGACCCGTTCAATCCTCCGCCTGCGCACGAAGATGGTTAGCAAATACCTACAGACGAGGATATGTCTGCGGGCGACCAGGGTCAATCTGTGGCAGAGAGACTTGCTTATCCGATGCCTCCACCGTATCCAGAAACTCCTGACCTGTCTATGGAAGACTTAGATGACCTGTTCGACGATTTGGACATGGAGAACGAGCCAAATCACGACGGGGCGGATGGATCTACAACGACCAATGGTCCATTCGGCAGCCTACAGCAGACCACTTCGGAGAATGACGCCGTCGATGATGCTGCTTCGATCAGTCAGGCTTCAATTGAGGCCCAGCCAGAGGACGATACATCTAGCCCAGCGAGCTCAAGCAAGGCCACTCGAGATAATGAGGCCATCGACGCCGAGTCCCCTAATACTGAGGCATCTCCCGACGAGATCACAGACACTGAAATGTCGAACGCTATCACTCCAGGCCCTTCGGGCGACAGCATATTGAACGATGGGATGGCCGACGAGCCCACTCCGAGGGTCCCGAATCCGGGCCAAAGACAAGGGAGAAAGCGCAAGTGCCCTTGTTCGAACTGCCGTGGCCAAGGCAGGCTGAAATCCGAAAGCACAATACAAGCACATAAAGTAGCCGACAATATTGAGAAACACAACATGCTCGAACAACCACGGGGTCAGTGCAAAAGATGCAAAAAGTTTAATGGGCGCAAATGCTATCAATGGGTAGAGGAGTACAAAGCCTGCTCAGAGTGCAGCAGGTACAAGGAGCCATGTCGTTGGGAGTAAAGCAGCGATGGGGAATGGGTCTGGAGGGGTTCTTCTTGTATCAATATCCCATAGCGTACTACTCGCGGGCGAGCTAGGTTAGGAGCTTTCTCCGTCAACAGCTTTCTCCGTTAACCTCATGGCATGTCGAACCTGTGATGCGTCTAGCAACAAGGTAGCCACACAACGTGAATGTCCTTCCCGAACCTATCTTCGTTGCGTGAAGAGTTATCATCGATGGCAAGTCTCATAGACATATAAAGGTTGGTCATGCGTTTTCTTTCTCTACCGTCAACTTATCCTTGTCATCGACATTTACCTACCTATTCGGCTTTTGATTAAACCGTATCGTAAGAGTTCAACTCCCGTGTCCTTCTTATAGCTTTCTTCCTAGTACATAACCACCCTTTACTAACACCGCAACAGTCTAAACTAAGAAAAATGGCTGTGTCTGTTGAATATAAGCCCGTGTTCGCGGAGGGAGAGGAAGAAAGCCTCAGAGGCGTCGCCGCAGAGGCACTCGTAGCGATGTTCACTCTGAAAAGAAACGAGAAGCTCGCCGCTCACAACGCCCGTCTTGTTCAAGACGCAGTCCTAGAGCACACTCGAATTCGTGGCTGGACTGCTATCAATGCACCCGCCAGCCAACGCCATCGAAATGCGGATCCTGTGCCCAGCCCAGACCTGGGCTCATCAACAGCAGCTCAAACTCCGTCACTGGTGCTCCGGTTCAGAGGCATCAACGAACCGACCGAAGATGAAGCGCGTCTGCCAAGTGACAGCTTGTGTCGACCAGCATCAGCTCGGCGTCCATTGCCGACGAGTAGGCCCAATACAGAAAATCAACAACCGCAATCACCACCGGCGGTAGACCCAGCGACTGGATCAAATGCCGTCGCACCCGCTCCGCAGACGATAACTGCAGCATCTGCGGCGAATAATCGGCAGACGAGGGCCACGACTGGCGCGAGGGCAATGTGCACATGCTCCTCGTGCAAAAAGCTCGACACAGTCAACGGAATTGGGCTGATAAAGGCCGTCAAGACAATCGTCGAGCACATACGTGCCGACGAGATCATCGCAAAGGGCAAGAAGGCCGAAGTGCCCTGCAATGGGTGCGCCAAAGGCAATCACGGCGATGATTGCTGTTACAACGGCGGGAATTCTTGCTCGGCTTGTATTCGGAAAAAGGAGAAGTGCTCATTCTCCAAGAAAGAGTCCAAGGGAAGGAAGAGAGATCAGGGGAAAGTGAGGCAGGAGGAGGCACCGGGCAATGACGATGGCGAGGACGAGGGCGAAGACGAGGCGAACGCGGAGGAGAGATTGGAGGTGGAGGAACCGCCGAAGAAGAAGCAGAGGCGTACGAGGGCGAGCAGAAACAGCCCTCAGAATACGCAACCACCTCCTATCAGTGAGGAGGCTGTGGAGCCGCCGCCTGCGACCTCAAGGCGTAGGCCGGTGAACAGGAGGAGCTCTCGACCTGCGCGACAGCAACAGGTTGAGCCACCTAGATCCAGTAGTCGCGGAGGTAGCTCCAGCGTTGATGGGTCTAAGACCATTGATGGCAGTTCTCCTTCTACCTCCGGCACAGCGGACGAGGGAGGGCAGTCGCCTTCGAGTGGAACGCCCGGTTCTCCCCGCGGCGCAGAAGAATCTTGGGCCGCCTGATTTCTAGACCTACCTTAGGATGGGAAGGAATTGGGCGAGTAGTACATGCAGATAGTATCGGAGTGTATTGTTACGTGTAAAGTAGAAATTTTGCGGTTGTTAGTTATCACGTTCATAGAAATCTAGAACAGGACTGCCAGTAAAAATCGCTTGACCAAATACGTTCGAACACATCGTGAACTTGGAGTCGAAAACTGTTGCGATATTAAAAAGGGTGGATCTGCACTTACATACCACCCACCTCTGGAGGAATCGTGGGCTTCGCCCAATTCCTCCTCCTTCAACCTCACGCAGCAATACAATCGATTATCGACCTTCGTCTCAACCGTACGGTTGCCCCTGCTGATGTGTATACCAACATACCTAAAGTAGGTACTTACACCCAACGGAGGAATCGTGGGCTACGCCCACCAACTTCCTCCTTACACACACATACATACGTAGTTCAATATCACGATTATTGTGCTTCGTACCGGCCCTCAGCCTACCCTGCTAACGTGTATACCAATAGATACAGCACGAAACAGACATGGTCAATTGTTGCTCTTGTACGTCACATAAGCTGATGCCACGAAGACGATCGACTGGCGCTCCAGACGGGGGCATGCTTGCGTCAAACCCGTCGGTCAGTGTTCCCGGGAGCATGTCGAGGCTGACCGAAGACCATCCACAATGGCCGAGCACGCATCGGAGAAAGGATGCAGAGGTAGGAGTTATGGTCTACCACCGCCCAATATAGACATCGGAGAAAGCCTGGAGAGGTAAGTGACTGGCAGGCTTCTTTCAACACGCAACATGAGTATCGGAGAAACACCAGAGAGGTAGTCTAGGTCACAATGTTCAGGCGCCACCCAGCCAAGCTATCTCCGGGAGATCTTTCCAGGACTATAGGAAGAGGCTCGAAAACAGCAAGTCAGAGACACAGTTCTTCATCCATTTCATCTCCATTTCAACGTGGAAGTGATAGAGACGATCCAGAACACAACGACTTTCCAGCACACCTTCTTCAAAATACATTCAGCCTTCTAACTACTTATCTATCCATTCACCACAAGGCACCTCACTCTTCTTGGAGTATTCCACATCGAATACCTTCACGACGTTGAGCTGATACTAAGGAGAGAAACCTTCCCGATAAAGATCACCTATTAAGTACTTCTAGTTAACCTACCCCAACCGTGACGGAGTGCTTGGAAGCTGTTGCTAACACCGGGTTTTCAGAGAAAAAATGGCACCAATTCAGGTTGCCACTGGCTCTGCTCAGCAGCAGCAGCAGGTGAGGGGTGCGCCGGGTCCCATTTATACGGCCTCGTTCCCGGCGGTCGGGGAAAGAAACCAGCTATGTCCGATCTCCTCCATCTTGACGACGGATGTGGATCCGGTGCAGTTGATGCCCATATGGAGTCTTACTTACGCCGTACGTCCGGCCGTGCTTCCGGCCGATGCCCCGGTCGTAGCCCCGGTCGTAGCCCCGGCACCGGCAGCGGCCTCACCAGTGCAGGCACCTTCGATTCCTGAGGTCGCGGCGCCTGGGCCCTCGTCGATGCCTGGGCCTTCATCGACGAATACTCCCCCGGCAAGGCCCAGAAAGATTAAGAACGCCGCCGGGCGGACGCTACTTCCGAATGCCCGTCCCAAGATCCATGTGCAGACCACGAGGGCGCCTCAAAACGGTGCACAATCCTCAACCTCGGCGCCGAATCGACCTGCGGCTTCAGCTTCAGCTCCGGCTCGAGCCTCGGTCGCGGCTCCGGCTCCTGCTGCCGACCAAGTTCCCGCGCAACCAGCGGTCGTGGCCGCCAACCAGGGGGGTAAGCAGAAAGAGAAGGTACGCTGCACCTGCACATTTTGTGTAGGGAAGCACGGGGTCGTGGGCAAGTTGGTGGCCGAGAAGACGTTCAAGGAGCACAGACGTGCCGAACGGGTCGATAGAGCAGGAACCCAGCAGAATCCTAAGTGCGGGAAATGCGTTGCGGGAGGCTACGAATGTGTTCGGAGGACAACTGGCCCGTGTAGCGTCTGTATGCGCATGTCGGATAAGTGTTCCTTCACGGGCCTATCTCTGAGACAGAGAGAGGTTAATAAGCGGACGCGCAATGCGGCGGCGGCTACTACCAATGCTTCTGTTGTTGGTCCTAGTCCCGCTACTCAACAGGCACCACAGCAGCAGCAAGGGTCAGAGTCGTCTTCCGAGGACGAGACACATGACGACGGACTTTCTGACTTGTTCGTTCCCGGACAGCAGGGAGAAGAGTTCGGCGCCGATTACGAGAATGGGGACGCGGGCGAGAGCAACAGCGTTTCGAGCGGGACGCTCGAGGCTAGCTCAAATACCCCAGGTACCTCGCCTCCACCTGCTGTCAGGAAGAGGTCGGCCGAAGTCGAGGAAGATGGTGACGAGTTTCCTGAGTCGAGGCCGAAAAGACTTCGTACGGAAGCAGTTCCGGCTGCCAACGACACGAGAGATTGATCGTCTCAGAGGGCCCCACTGAGCTGGCACTGTAGAGAGGAAGACGTCAGGGAACGATGAGGCAGCCGTGAGCGGTGTCTTTATGGCTGAATGACGGTCGACACTATGTTCCTGCGTCTACTGCTTTCCCTCAAAAGTAAGTATTAAGATCCTCAACGCCACTTGGCCAATACATTCGTGCTGAACCAGATATCCTGCAGATGTTATTCGCCAGAACAGTCGATGAACCTACACAGGAAGACGACCTCACAATCCAGGCACCGGCAGCCGGAGCCTTATGTAGGCCTTCAAGCAGACCTACGCCGACCATAGCGAGAAGATGACGAAGGAATCCCCTCAAAGCTACCCAGACCTGGAGCAGCTATCATTGAGGCCATTGTCAACACGTCGATGCCAACGTCAAGGCTGAGACCGAGGCCGTGCTGCAGGTTCTCTTCTAAATCTCGCCATGTCGACAAGAACCAGGCCCAGTATCGACCCAACATGGCCATGAAGGTTAACGCGAAGCTTGAGTTTCTCCGGCGAGAAGGTTACGGCACCATCTACAAAGACGTTGATATTTAGAGCGATCAATAAGTGTGTACACCGCGAGAAACAGCAATTACTATATCGCTAATAGACTCTAGGTTATCGCCACAGTTCGCCAATATGGATCGTTGTTTCTGTTGTTGCGTTGGTCGATAAATGTGTGTGTTGTGGGAGGCGTCTTGTGGGATGCCTTTGGTTGCGGATATATCTTTTGTATGATGGGGTTCTTGACTGGCACGACTTTAGTCAACGTTTCGCGCGCATGCATTATTCGTGTTTTCCGTCGATTGTTATTTCTGCGTTGGTTATTATTGGGACATATTTGCGGACTGTTCAGCTTCTCGAGTAGTATTGATACATTCTGTATTAATAGCTAGGTGCTCTCATAACGAAGTTCCTCGTGGCGGTCATACCCGAACCCATTTTGATACAAGGCTGGGTAGCGATGGCGTTGGTGATTGAGCTAGCAAAACATAGCGTCGCTTGTATACATCACTGCTTTTCATTCTGGGCGTAAATGAAGTTGGCACCTGATTCACAATTAGCCCGCATTCCCGGCCTCAAGTATGCTGCTTGGGCGTCAACTCACCGACGGCAACGAGGCCATTCTCCTTGGCCCACTTCTGGACCCCACGTCCCTCCTGGCCTCCCCAATGCTTGCGTTCCTCCGGCTTCGAAAGCTCCAACTTCTCCTTGGTTCCATTGGCCGGCACCCATGCGGTGAAGACGTAACGGTGCTTGCCGGTCTTGGGTGGAGGTCCCGGCGGCTTGTACTCGATAACCTCGTCCAGATCCGCCGGCTCGATGCCAGAGGAGATGGTCGGAGAGCTGCTGACGGCAATCCAGTGGCAGAACTCGGACCAGATGGGGTTGCTACGAGTAGGTGCGTCCGGGTCGGTGAGAGTCAAGACGTACGTCGTGGCAATGACGCTGGTCATTGACGAGCCGCTGACAATGGCAACGGTAGGCGCAGATTGGAGATCAGCAGGATTCAGGGTGTTCCCGAGATCGGCGACATTGGAAGAGGACCACTCGGCCGCGACGCCGATGATGGGCTCAAAGTCATCGAGGACGGTAGGGATGACCTTGGCTTTGTCCAGCCTGTTTGTCTGCAAGTCAGCGAGCTGTCAAAGGTGCAGACGGGCCCGAAGCTGGAGACAGAGACACGTACTCTTCGTGAACGCGAGTCAGATCCGCAGCAGTTCTGAAAACGAATTGATCTTGGCTCGTCGGAGCAGCGGCAACGACGGTGCCGCAGACAGCCAGAGCGGCCAGGAACTTGCTTGCAAGGGAGCCCGCCATCGCGGGGTGACGGGCAACGGGGGTTGAGGCACGTTGCGCGTCCTCGAGACGAATTGCGATACAGTGGATGAACACTGGGTGAAACGGTGGAGATTGGGCAGCACAAGGCCAAGCAAGTTTGCTATGTTTTGGTTGGCGTTTCTTCTTTGACGTTTGATGCGAAGAACGCGTTGAAGAATTGTGCCGCTGCCTCCGCCGCCGTCGGCTTTGCTTTCCGCGGGGAGAATCGTTCTTTGGTGATGTCATGCCGCTACGCTCTGGCGTGCTTTCTTTCCCCCGCCCGGAACCCCTGCTCTCCGCGGCGGCAACTGCAACGGCGCCCGGTCGCGCACTAATAATCTGGATGGGCCTAAGCACAGCAACTTTATTTCAGCCGCTCTCACTCCGTTTGCCGAGTATTCTCAATACTCTTCATGGCTGTTCATGATATTGTGAAGTCTGAATCGAAGACTCATCTCAATTCTCACGTCGCTCTAAGGTTGCCTTCAATTACTCAACTTTCTTAGTCGCGATGTTGAGCAATGTGAGACCGTCAGGCGAATTGATGTCTGCACGACTTTGTTTTGGACCAACATGTCAGAGTCGGTCGGCTTTTTGCATCAACGTCATATCTCGCCTAATGATACGCAATTTCATTTCGCTTCCCTTATTTTTCGCAAGTTAAGCACCATAATGGTTCGTTGAGCACTACGTCCATGCTCATCGCTGACAATGCCATGCCGGAAGATGGGACGCATGTGCGAACGGGCCGTTCTGTTCACTCACGTTGTCAATGCCATTCCCCCGGGACACACGGGCAACTAGGGAGCTCCGACTGTTCATCATATCAGATTGTGACTCCACTCATAGAGAAGCTATTTTGAGGGTGGCGCGTGACCAACTCTCAACTGCATGGCATCTGGCTTCCGAGCTTCGTCTAGGCATTCAGGTGTGAAGATAGCTTTTAAGCTGTTCGAACAATGCCATGAGCCAGGAGTGCGTGAGTTCTAATTCAATGTATCAGTTGCTCTCAAGTAAGTTGCCCAAGGAGAAGGAGAAGGAGGGAGTGAAGATGAACTGAAAGAGAAGCGGCCGAACAACGAAGTTTCGAGCATCATTACACACGTACCTATTCAATAGAGAAGGTAGGTATCACTAGGATGTAAAAAATGTATGGTTCACTCCGGATAAGTGATCAGACACGGTAAGTGGATCAGGATTAGGTCAAGCCCGACTAGTAGTAGGCATCAGCTTCATGCACTCAAAGTAAGATTGACTATAAACTTAATCCAATCCTAGACTTAGATAGGACTTCTTCGTATTTCCAGAAGGAAATGGGACCACAGAGAATTATGGGACTTTTTTTTTTTCTGTCATTACATGTCCATCTACACCCCTCTCTCGTTGAGGTTTATCCTACCAGGACAAGAACAATTCTGCTGCCTGGATTCACAGCCCTGCTACTACGCCAGCAGGCCTAAGTAAGGACATACGGTGTGAGTTGCTCATGCTCTGAATTTTAAAGTGCTATCAAGCATGAAATGATTAAATCTTTCCCCCGCTATTTAAGTCTTGCCTGCCTCTGAGCTGAATGAGATGGTTGCCTCTGTGTAGTCATCGCCATCTGCGCCATGCTGTAAATAAGGGGCTAACGTGGAGGAAACTCGAAAGGCACCGAGTGCCGATATAAACCGCAGATCTTAGCCATTCGAAGGCAGTGCTGAATTTGATCGCTGGCGCATGCTCCGTACACATAAAGTACTCTTAATGACCCCAATCACCAAGAGGCTTGACCCGTCCCGTAGTCGCAGTGTAACCTCGGGCAGCGGTTCAGCACCTCTTGCTCAGGCATCACGCGACGCCCCGTGAACTATATGTATTATTACACTTCCAAGCCGAATTTGATTGGATACCGTATGTCGGCTACAGCCGGTCATTTCCTATTTCTCTGCAGTAAGCGGGAGAGTATGGAGCCCATCTTGTTTCTGAAGCTTGGCTAAGCTTGGCTCTGTAAGCGAGTTTAAATGACGAGGTTATAAACTAGGGGCAGGCATAGTTGAAGGCTCTGCAGACGAAGATCCGTGATTTGATATATTCCCGCCTGGGTTGTCAACGTCACACGTTGTCTGTGGGTTCGCCTCTTTGTGTTTCCGTTGAGTAACTTGACTTGCCTTCACTGAAAGCAGGCTCGCAGCCTGGACAGCACAGCCGGGCGAAGCCAAGGTGACCCTACTTCAGGTGGGCTGGCCATGTGTCACAACGGTATTACTTTTGTGCTTTCAGGCTTGAGGATCCCACTTGTCAAGAAAATTCCATGGCATCTACGTGGATTTTCCAATTTGGGACCTCGGGGCGGCCCCTGACGCACATCGTCAGCACTGGGTAATTAGTAGATGGTCCGTCCATGTCGTCAACTCGAAACATCATCATCTGCAAAAGTTCTTTCCTCCAAGTCCGGCTCTATGCACGTTTACAATTTTCTAGTAGACACTTTCCCCACTCGGATGATAGAATAATCGCCCGGTAAGGGTGTGTCGACTATGGATACAGTTGCCTGTATCAGTAATATAGAAGCCAACGGAGCGCTATTAAACGAAAACTAAATTTAATGTTTGGAGACTTTTCAAACCCGACAACGAAATCAAGCTCCGTCGGTGCGTTGGCAGATTATAACTTTGGCAGCTGATGAGGGTTTCGCAAGTCCATCATCCTGGAACCCAAAATGAGGGACTTCGGTATTGATGAGGCTGGTTTGACGATCCGCCAAGACGACGCCTCCGCTGCGGAAAAGGGCAGTGCATGGCGCGAAGGAACGCCCGACGACTGAGAGGTAACATGTCGCGTGGCTTCATATTCCCGAGCGAAGGAACAAGGATGATGGGGATCTGCATATAGGCGCGAAAATATTGTCTCCATCAACCACCCTTGGAAACCCCCGGGCGGGAAAAACCATGGCATTACGGGATTACACAGACTCGCAGAGCAAAAGAAAAGGAAAGAGACAGAGAAAGTCTCGGCGGAAATGCCGATCATGTAAGACAACCGGGTGCCCGCAGCGCCGCCTAGTCCAAACAAAAGCCCGCAGCGCAGGTTGGCCTGCGCATCCCCTCCACTACGACGATTACCATCTGATGAAGGGATCCTCACGAGCCAACCAAAACATCACTGCCTGCCTTCCAGTGGGCTCGTTTCTTCGGGATGTTACCGCGGCCCCCAGCATGGCGGTGGTGGCTGACCCAGCACCGAGCAGGCAACCGTAACCGTTCCCCCAATGACTTTTCGCCCGATATAGTTGCAGAGTGGTTCAAAAATCTTGTCTGCAATGTCGTGTATCAGGGGGGTTTGGGGTTACTTCCCGTCCACCCCAGCTCGTCTCAACTTCTGAACTCTTTTCTCTCTTTCTTTTGACAGCTGTACTCATCCCAGATTTTCCTCTTACCTTGCTTGCTACTACTTTGCAGACCGTTTGCGTTCGCGCAACTGAGAGAGTGAGAGTGAGAGCGAAAGAGACAATATGGCTTCAGTAGCCTCATGCTCGTCCATGGTCATGGCGATATGGACGTCGTTGAGTCGATGTATCCAGAGGAGGTTCTTCCGCGTTTTTGCAATCTGTTTTATCTTGTTTCTCGGCGTTACTCTTCACCTTACTCATGATACCCAACGACCTCACCACGAGCCGTTCAAGGCCCCGATCACGAAGCCTATCGTTCATGGCAACCCGGTAGACGGGCTGCCAGAGCCCTCATACGAACTCAACCCCTTCCCTTATTCTCCTCAACAAACAGAGGCCAACGGCACCGATGAAAATGAGCTACCGAAACCCTGGCTGGCGGCAGTCATCTCTACAGCATCAGATGTTGAGCGTCGGATGCTTATTAGATCCACGTGGATGAAGATCTTTGGCGATGTTCCATTTGATGGACGCTTTGTGGTATCAAATCCTGGACCGCAGTGGATGGAGGTGGTGGCCAACGAGAACCGCACCTTTGGGGATATGATTGTGCTCGACAACATCACCGAGGACGACATCACCGCCAACACCATCAAGACCCTCGAGTTTTACAAGTGGCTCGTCGACCACGATGTACAGTACGAATTTGTGTCAAAGATGGACACCGATCTGTGGCTCAACACACGAGGGTTCTGGGATCGTTTCCTGTCACCGCGGCTTACGACTGACAGCGTCACTGGGCTCGTGAAGAGTACGGTCCGGAAGACTGTTATCGGAGAGCTCTATTACTCCAAGTATTGGGATCTCGTCTTCCCGCATGGCGCCATGTACACCGTTACTTGGGACATGGTGAAGTTGCTTGCGGACCTCCAAAACAAGCACCGCGTGGTGACGGGTGAAGACATGGCCATAGCAACCCTCATGCTCAAGGGGCACGAAAAGGCCAACTTTGTCAACTTCAGGGGCTCAGAAAAGTTCGACTACGATGACAAAGACGCACGGCACGACGGCACGGCGTGGGCTAGGAGGAAGACACACCCGGATGCCATCCAGCACGCGTTGGTCGGCGACGAAGCCATTGCAGTTCATCAACTCAAGGATGAGAGCTTGTGGTTCAAGGTGGCGGACTGCTTCGACGAGCAGGGTATCAAGGACGCGCCGCCGGCGTATCATTCCGGCCCGGAGACGCAGCGGCCCATTTCGATGAAGTGGGATGACTTTTGGTTTTGGATGGGTGTTTCGGACCGCTACGACGCTAGATTCGACAGGATACCAGACTTCTTGTGGACAAGAGCAGATGGGCATTGGATATGCGACGGTATATGGGACTTGGGGGAGACAAAAACGGGATACACAGAGAAGGAAAATACCTTATGACAGGGTGCAATAATTAGATTTGTCTTGAAGTTATTAATGATATCCTCCAACGTTCAGCGCGAAGATACACATGAACACCTCGCATGCTGCGGGCTCAGGGTACAGGGACCACATTCAGTCTAATCGTCCCACCAAAGTTCTGCGTACCGATCTCAAGGGTAGGATCTTCCCGGCTGATTTGGAAGATACTCAAAGAGCCGCCAACACAGGTGAGGGTATTATCGACATTGAATGTGCAGACATCAGCTTGATAATTAACCTTAATCAGAGCCGAGGCAGCAGCAGGCGACGGAAAGAAATATTGGTAGTGGAGAATTCCCATAATCGTCAATCATGGCTGGCAAGCCTCCGTCGGAAGTGAGGAGCGAGTAGTGGGCTCGGAGCCTGAATAGTTGCGCGTTCTGCCTGTTGGCGCTGAATAAGAGCCTGTAGCCCGAGCCAAAAGCTTGCTGCAACTGTGCAAAATTGCCATCAGCAGTGAAGTCGCCGCTGTTGGATGCTTGGAGAACGAGGATGTCGATCAATACAGAGCATGCGCCGGTGATGGTTGGTTTAGCGGGGCTGGTCGTTCAGATGGCCTGAGAAATTAAATTTCAGCATGGTTTACGACCCATGAGGAGGCTCAATGGAGGTCGTGCTCACGCTAGCGCTAGCAGGGCTGGCTGAAGTTGAAGTGAATGAAGAGCTGCCTCGAGCTGGAAGATGAAGTACTGCTAGAACTTGACGAGCTGGGGCTCGAGGAGGTACTGGAGCTTGAGAAACTGCTTGAACTCGAAGAACTGCTTGGAGTCGAGGTCGAGGTGTCTGAAGTGGAAGTTGAGGTGGTACTATCCGTTGACGAAGTTGAGCATGTAGCCAATGAACTGCTACGCGAGCTGGTACTGGTAGTGCTTGAGCTATCGGTCGAGCTACTGCCGGTTGTCGTACCGGTCGTAGTAGAAGTTGCGGCGGTACTGCTGCCGCTTGAGGAAGTGCCGCTGACGCTGCTGGTTGACGACGAAGTGGTAGATATCGAGCTCAAGGAACTACTCGTCGAGGTGGAAGCCGTGCTAGAAGTACTGCTATTTCCAAAGTTGAACGTGCTGCTGCTCGTCGTGGCAGCCGTCGGAAGGGTGTTGGTGCTAGTCGTCAAGGTGGGCTGGGGTTGGGTTCAGGGAGCTTGTGGCAAAGGTCGTGGAAGACGAGGAACTGCTGAGAATGCTGCTGCTAGAAGAGCTAGACGAGGACGAGCTGCTGCTTAAAATGCTGGTTGAGGATGACGAAAACGATGAGAGAACCGAGGCGGATAAGCTGGATGCTGCTGCTGGTAGAGCTGAGAGTGATACTCAGCGATGAACTCAAGGAGGACGAGATGCTGGTGATCGAAGCGATTGCAGAGGTGGTGGTGTTAGAAGCAGTAGGAGGCAGCACGGCCAGTACAAAGCTTAGATTGGCGCCGGAATCGGAGTCGTGGTCGGCTGGCCGGAGGGTTGCTGGGCGGCAGCAGAGAAAGCCAAGGCCGTCAAGACGGCGACCTGCTCGATCCAACCCATGGTCAACTATGCAGGGCTCTGCATCGTAAGTCGATCACAGACGCCGAATCTATCGGGAAACTTTGCAAGAACACGAGCCGCACAAAAGGAAAGTAAAACGAAGGAAGCATTGTGGGCCAGATGAGGAGACGGGTGGCTCGAGTTCGGGTATTGTTCATTAGAATGTCTCGCCCAGAATATGCTGGCTGGATGGGAATTGAGACAGTGGTACTGTACCCAGGCTATACGGAAGGATTTCTCGGCTCCGGGTTTGTCACGTTACGAGACTTGCGGGCCTATAGAGGAACATATCTTGGGCGCTATGTGGCTGTAGCGTGCGGAGGAACGTATTAAGAAGTGAAAGGTAACGGGGTGAAGCCGTGACGAAGTTGCTGAAAATGATTCAATGAGGAGAGGGACGATCAATGGCGTTGCCGCATTCGCGCCGAAGCAAGGGAGAATCACGATACGACTTTCTCCCTGCGATACATCTAAGACGGATCTTCCACTTAGAGGAATCAAGCCACTTTCTACTATACAAGTCTTCCACTTGCTACCTCGCTTTGTGATAGACAGCAATACGGGCTCGGGATATTTTGCGGAACACATGCGGAAGACTCGCGGGAGCATCAGCGGGTCCTTTGCCGGAGCTCCACCAGGCCCGCCACGGCGTCCGACAGCGCGGAGCCTGCAATTTCCCATCACCTCTAGCGCAAATCTCTGATTGGCGGCATTCGAACCCTCACCCGCAACCAGCAGATTTTGCAACCAAACCCTCGCTTCTCGCGCCCCGTTCACCACAATGCAAGTCGGTCGGTTCCCGCGCGTCATATTCGCCTTGGCCCCTTGCGTCTCCAACAACAACTGGTCTGGTGGTGTAGTTGGTTATCACGTCAGTCTAACAGCTCGAGAGCCTCGTCTCTCTCGTCTGCCACACTGAAGGTCTCCGGTTCAAGTCCGGGCTAGATCATACCATGGGCGATTGGTTTAGTGGTATAATGACCGCTTAGCATGCGGTAGGTCCTGGGTTCGATTCCCAGATCGTCCATTCTTTTTGCTCTTTGACGCCTCCAGATGCTTTTTGTCGTCCTCTGCAAACGCTGTGAAGGATATTCGACCGATTCCAGGCTCGGTCGGGTACTGACAGACCATGTGGGTTGACGAAGAAGCAATGGTGCAACGGACTCATGTCACGCGCTGCAGGACTGGGTCTAGATGCGAGGAAGAGGTGTGTGCCGGTGGTGATACATTGAGCCGCTTCTCTATCAGGGTAAGTAAGACTCTCTCTCGAAAGCTGCGGACTTGGCGACGATATAGGTCGTGATCAATGTCTTCCTTCCTCTTCGGTATTCTCTGCCTGAGCGGGCTGGCAGCTCGGCTGACGTTCCAGCGGGCCTTGAAGCCATCGCTGGTAGTAGTCCCACGGGCCCATCCTGATCGCCCAAGGGTACCGGATTCCGGTATCCCTCCTTGGCAAAGTCTCCAAGCCGGTATCACATCCCGAAATGGATGCAGCGATCACCCAGTCTCCTCGCAGTGTGTTGACCCATAAAGACCTGTACCAGTGGGAAAAGACCTTGCATTCCTGTCTGTTACTGAGGCTTGCTGTAGTCGTCGCTAGATTTGATCGACTGGATTTTCGCATCTGTGTCGTATGGGAATCTCTGGAGCGTAGAGGAACCAGTCACCACAACGCAGTGTTTCTGGGAGGATCGAAGCCTATGTCCGCTTGTCGAGAAGCGGCCGGACGATTGTGATTGAACGTGAAGCCTCTATGTGACCTTGGTCGTTTGGTGGGACCTACACCATGTTTTTGAGCTGTGTGATACCGCGATGGTCGCTCTCGCCTCGAACGCGACGGTCGCTGTACGCGGTGCTTATCCCGCCTTCGCCGCTTGACGGTGTCTGATTACCATCAGAGAAGGGTCGGTCCCCTTTGCTTCGCCAGAGAAAGAAACCGTCCTCCAAGCGGCCTGATGCTGGCGACTAGGAGCACTTCCAGACTCCCTTCTCCTCATCCAGCCCGAACTTGGTAGACTTCATGCTGAAGAGGTACGTGAAGATCCTCTCCGTCTCGCCGCCGAGCACGGGCAAGTCAACCACATCTTCTTCGTGTAGAGTCCACCCCTGGCTATCGACCTGGTTCCAGAACTCATTCTCGTCCGGATGTCGCTTCTTCCAGGCGATGTACACCCACGTCTGCGCAGACTCATTCGAGCTTTTCGAGATGTTGTGCACGTGGATCGCCGTCCAGGTATTCACCAGAGAAGGCAGCGAGTCCACGTTGTAGGTGCAATCGCTCATGACGACGACGTCCCACGTCTTGGCGTTGACCAGCGGCCCAAACACCCCCTTCCGACCGTCGTCCCAGTCAAGGTTCTCATACCGCGGATGGATATTCGCTGCCCCATTCGTCACAAGCCTCTCGATATTCGCGCAAGCGCGATGCTCAGCTTCAGGCAAATCCGTCATGAGGACGGAACCCTCACCCTTGGGATCCGCACCCGACAAGAGCTGCGCGAGCCCGTTCCCCAAGATCCCAACGCCACAGCCCAGCTCAAGGATATTCACCGGCCCGTTTCCGAAGAGCAGGCCGTGAAATGTCTTCATGAGCCACGGGTGCTTCTCCGCAGCGAAGCTTTCCCGCGTGTTCACCTGCCAAAGCCCAGAAACAGCCATCAACCCAGCATCCCAGATATGCCGCGCAATACTCTCCCCAATATCCTCCTCAATCTCAAACACCGGCTCCGAGGGGCGATCACCGTGTTCAAGTCTCCGGACGCATGTCATCGGCGCCTCTGAGCCTGGTGTCTGTACGTCTGCCCAGAGGGGCAAGATCTTGCCGCACTCTCCCTCGCACCCCGCGAAACTGACGCTCATCGCCGTGTCGGCTGATTTATCACCCTCGGCGCGTATGCGTACCTTCAGCGGACCGAGGCCGTTGGTGTTGGGTAGGGGCCCACGCCCGGGGAGGTGTTGAGCTGGGATGTCTGCCTTGAGGACGCGCCTACCAGGGGTCCAGCGCAGGACCTTTTCGGCGGCCAGCGTCATGGTCTCACCTTTCTGCCTTTTCTTCGGTTGATCCTTCTGTTGCTTCTGCTGTTCCCAACCGGCAGAGACTTTGATCTTGACGGGGTCATCATCTTCTGGTGTGAGGAAGGAGTCGCCCAGGTCGGTTGTGATGGTGAAGACGACGTTGAGGGACCAGGGGTGTGTCCTGTTCTCCTCGCGCGTGAGCGTTGGCGCTCGAAGGAGCCGTATGTAATGCATTGAGTCTTCGGGACGAGGACTGGATCTGACCTCCCACCGACTCACTCGCTTTTGATGATGTCGTCGGGTGTGTCGATGAGACGGCGTCAATGAGCTCGCGGATGAGGGACGAAAACTGAGAAGATGCTTAGTCATTCTCCATTGACCAGTCAAAGCTCTCCAATCGGGAAATATAGTTGGTCGCGTGCGCTACGCCAGGCACCTCCTTCCGCTCCCGAGCTCGCGAGCTCGATGGGCTCGTCAATAACTTCCTGGGGGTTCATTCAACTCATATGAAAAGATTCGATGGATATTAATTAGTTGGTTAACTTGAAGATTCGGGCCATGAGGCGTGTATGGTACGTCGTGGAAGTTTGCTACATCCTCATCACCGACACAATAGAGGTTGCCTCGTAGTACCCGCCCTCAAAGAGATGGTTAGTCCATCTAAGATCCCATTCGCTGCCAAGAAGACGAGAGCCGAGTGCAGCGTACTGTTCGATTGAGTGCTAGTATTTCCGCATTGACGGGCGAGAATGCTTGATGTCTGGGTACCAAGTTAGTGTATCTGAGGCCGACGCGAGATGGGGCACACGGGCAAGGCAGTGTGCTTCTGGCAAGATATTGAAGACTTGAGGCAGGAGGTGCTGATTAGGTAGGCATCACGCATCAATTCAGATGTGACTATCTTGGGTTCGTCCGTCGTCGACCGACGAATCAGTAGCCTAAAAGTAGAGACAGATCTGGCCGGCTAGAAGGATCTGCCTATAAAACTACGACGAGCTCAACTGCATCTCCTTGCCCACCAGCCAAACTTGTTTTCGAGTACTAGTACGTCGCAGTTGGCTTGATTTGAAGTTCTTAGTGCGACTGTACCTGAACAGATATAGGCGCTGGACCTCATCGTTCTCGCCTCTAGAGTAAAGAAGCTTGTCGTACCATGTTGCTCCTTCAGTTCTTCGTCTCCTCTCCCTCCAATGTATATTCCGCACTTAATACCTTGCCTTGGTAAGCCGGCGGGCAAGGATAGCTTGTCAGTAGTTTCGGTGCTCAGCCATTTTAACCTTGGCTGGAAACCAAGAACATGAGAGCGTATGTCAGCACTGTGGAGGCTGAAGCCGAAATCGATCCCCGGATCACTGGAAGTCTGCGCACCGTCTGCGCGTTCGAGGTGCTGAAGATCTATATCGGCGCCCCTTACAACTACTATCCGATAACGTACCGCCCCTGGGCTCACCTGAACAAGGCAGAAGTGACCCTGGAGGGTTACCTGTTCTCGGCGGTGGCGCAGTGGCTCATCGCCCACCCTGAGGACTTGGCCGATGTCGATACCATGAGCTCGATCGCCAAACGCTGGAACCCCTCGATGGCGATGACGAGAGACAATTTTGGTGGGCCTCGCTCCCAAGCTTGGCCCCTTATCATCGAGGATCACAAGAAGCGTACGGCCCGACCTATTCCTGAGATGTTCAACATCAACATGGGCGCGAACAATGCCAGAGCTTCGGTCCAGACAGTTCGGTCAAGATGGACCAAGTCACAATTGAAAACCAGCGCAGTATCCTCTTCTCTCCTTACTCAAGTCCGTTGGCTCTGTCTCGAGCCTGATGAATTGCGACCTTAGCTTCCCATGCTTTAGACTCGGAGATCGTGGTTTGAACCGGAGCCTTGTTCGTGTGACGGCCCAGCGCCTTTTCATTCATTGAAATGACGTGCCTGCCCGGCCCGGAAGGCTCTAAAAACCGCCGCAAGCTTATGAAGAGCTTTTCGTACCCAGCAACATCCTGTGTCTGATTGACAGAGATGCTTTGTCCCAGCAGTGGAACCAGAGCGACCCTCTTGTTGCGCTTTGCATTTGGCACACTGTGGTCCTCTACCAAGGTCTATTCGCAGTCTTCCGAACCTCAGGGATCTATCTTCCTTCCAAGGGGGCGTGGCTGCGTGGACCAAGTCCAAGAAACCCCATACTATTATTCATTTAGATATCCCATGTGGAATATGCCGAGGAGGCCGACGGCCGGAAGGGGTTGGTTGACTTAGGTAGAGGCCCGAATGCTTCACAATGATATTCGGATCGAGACCTCTACCGTCGCCGCCATGACTAGGTAGCCATTCCATGTGGATGGGGATGACCTTTTCGTTAGCAGAGCGCACGCGCTGGGTGATAGAGTTCACTTCTCTCAAACTGCAAGATCTGATTCATACCAGTCTGCTCCAGCAAGCTCGACCTAGAACCCCCCGCGGCCTCCGATCGGAGACCGGCGACAAGTGGACCCAAGCTTCCGGGCTCGGCCACCATCCCCGACCGAAACCCAACACGTTCTCAGCAATTGCAGATATTTCTACGTAACCCTCAAAACACGCCGCGTAAACAATTTCAGCTCCTCACTCCCAGGTCCAAGTAAAAAAGAATACACTCACAGCTTAGCGCTCGGGACATCTCCCACCTCCGAACCCTAAAACACCGCAACGATCGGAGGTCGCCGCCCCCCCCCCCCCCCCCCCCCCCCCCCCAGCCCGCCGCGACCGGAAACAGCGAACCCCCATCCCGCCATCCCGCGCTACGGAAGCCTCCGATGGTAGGAGGTCGGCGCCCACTCAAACACACATTGAAGGTAATTGGCTGACCTTAGATATACGCATACGGAGAGCATCTGGTGGGTTGCGATAAGCGTCGCGGGGTTGATACAATCGCGGCTCCATCCCAGTCCCATATCGGCATCGACAAATCTTCAACGGCCAACAATTGAACTTTTACACCAGCAATAAATATCTATCTACATCTACCCTGACTCCATCACCACTCAATACCTAAAACCTCAAAGAAGACATCGCCACACACAATGGCCACAGAACCCCCCCTCCCAACCCGCAACCCAAAAACCGTCCTCTCCTCCCTCCTATCCCTCACAGAAACCCGCATCGTACCCCTAACGGCCGCCGGCGTCTCCTCCGGCTCAAAACTCTTCGGCGCCGCAATCCTCTCCTCCTCCTCCTCCTCCCTCCACCCCTACACAGTCTCCACAAACGACGAACGCACCTCCCCCCTCCTCCACGGCGAAATAAACTGCATCCAAACCTTCTTCACGCGCGACTTCCCCGACCCAGCCACCCGCCCCTCCCCACGCACCGACTGCGTCTTCTTCGCCACCCACGAGCCCTGCTCCCTCTGTCTATCCGGGATCGCGTGGTCCGGGTTCAGGGAGGTGTATTACCTCTTCACCTACGAGGATAGTCGCGATTTATTCGCGATTCCGCATGATATCAATATCTTGCAGCAGGTGTTTCGCGTACCGGCTGAGGGGGAGGGGGAGGCGGCGTTGGAGCGGCGGGAGTTGTATAACCGCACCAATACGTTCTTCACGGCAAGGAGTCTAGGGGATTTGGTGGAGGAAATTGAGGATGAGGGGGAGAGGGCGCACTGGAGGGGTGAGATGGAGCGTGTGAAGGTGCTGTATAACGCGTTGAGTGAGACGTATCAGGAGGGAAAGAAGGCTGGCGCGGAGAGTTCGAGTGTGTGGAAGTAGAGCGAGCGAACTGCAGGTTTAGATGATTCGTCAATGGGGGGGGGGTGTTTGGTTTACGGATACTGCTCGATGCTTGAGTCCGCGTTTGTAGGCGCTGGCAGTGGCTGGGTGGAATCGGCGCCGGTGATGAGACTGGGCGATTTCCCATAGTCGAGGGCCGAGCTGGTGAAGCTGGCGTCATGCTTTAGCATCGATATGGAATGCCGCCGGCGATGACTGGTGTTTAACCTAGAGGATTAGAGATACCACTAGGAACGACTCGTTTCCAGTTTCAGCTATCGCCTTCCCAGCCACGTCCATCATGTTTACTATTTTCGAAGCATTGAGTCATTGTGCAGTTGTATGAAAGACTGTAGTCCAACCCAGCGTGTGTCATGTAGTTTTCATCTCGGCCGGCCGTCCGTCGCCCAGCCGGGGTGAGACCTCCGCAACGGCAAGGAAAGGAAGAGCTGCAGCGATCAACGTCGCAGACGGCACTCCCCGGAAGGAGGGCGATCGTTTCACAGGCGCCGGACCTTACTCGTGGCCGTGACCCGTACCAAAGGCAGCAAGATCCTGCACGCTCACGATCCCTCGGCCCCCGAAGCTGAACCTCTCCCGCCGTCCTGCGCCGGACAGAACATCGTCCAATGCAACGCACTGTGCAGCGGTTATGGGCCAAGCAGACGAGGGCGGATATGCATGCGTGGGGTAAGCAGAAGGACGGCAGACCGGAGCGTGTAGGCTGCGGCACGGCGGTACGGAATACAAGCTAGAGGACGCGTGAGGACCTCACCCCCCCCCCCCCCCCCCCCCCCCTGTCGATGAGGTACATTTGGATTCTTCACGCCCCCCTCTCCAAGGGCTCCCTTTCTTGGGGTCTGAAGCATCGTCATTGGCCGGGATCGTCTGTTTTCCCATGTGGCCCACGTTTCGTTTTAGGCACATGCAAAGAGTTTCTTGCGCAAGCCGTTTTTCGGCGTGGGGAGCACGTTGCGGAACGGAGTCGTCCGGGTTTGACGGGCCATGGGTATGGGCGGGAGGGGAAGAGGGGGCAGACCTTGGGAAGAAGATGGTCTTTGCCGGATCGGTCGGACATGGCGTGCATTGTTCCCGGCCTGGGTGACCAGTGGGGATGTCTGCGAGTATGGCATAGTTGACGCAGTAGGCAGCGGTCTTTTCGAGATGAACTGCTTGGTGATACTGCGGTGCGCGGGTGAGAAACAGGGTTCGTGGCCGTCATTTGGTTGTTGCAGCGCATGGCATGGCAGCGCAAGGCATCATCGCAGACTGCGGCTAGAATGGATGGAGTCAACTCCAAGGGAATCCGTAATTGTGCAGCAACAGGAGACAGACGCCGCTGCTACTGCATCACGTCACTGCTGTTGCTGAAGACCGAGAGACGCAGGCGAGAGAGTGTAGGTATCCGTATTCGTAGGAATGATGATGATGGGACAAAGTCTCCGCAACGGCCGCCCCTCCCGCGCATGTTAGCGGGGGGTGAGGGTCTCTCTCTTCCTTTTCCCCCCTCCCGGCCCCTCCCGGTTATCGTTTGGTCTGTCTCGAAACCCCTCCTCGTTGGTTGCGTGCAGACGCCATCCGTGGTATCCCGGCGGGTAGGGAGAGGAAAAGGACGCAGTGAGCAGCCGTGTGTCAGCACACCCGTCCGCTATTTGCAGTTGGTGATGGGGAAGATGGGCGATGATGGAGGATGAGTGGCCGGGGCAAAGGCGAGTTTCCCACTCGTGGTGATTAATGACCAGTGACAGGTCGCTAAACCAAGGTAAACCGTAAAAGAAGAGTCGCGACGAACGGTCCCAGGTTGGAACGGGCGGACACAGCACTACCATCACTGGCGTTTCTTCCTCTCATGGGCCGCCCACCCTTGCCTGGGTTCCCGGGGGTGTGGTGGGTTGCATTCTCTGGCTGCAGACGCGCAGGTTGAACGTTGGAGGGTTCGCTGTGAGAAATGACGCAGAAGTTTGGACATCCTGAGGGCTGAAGGAGGTGTCTCCCGAGTCCCCAAAAATAACGAGCTGCCGATGGTTGTTGGCTGTGCCGCGCCGTCCATACTGGTGCGTTTGCACCACCTCATGCACTCGCGGTTGGTGTTGCTCGGAGCTGGATGAGCGCTGGGAGCCAGTCGGGAGGCTTGTCGATCGCACCAACTATGTTATTTTCTGAGCATCCTCCTGTCTATTGGATAGTACCAGTGAGACTGTCCGTTCATGACTGGCTTGAATGGCTTCCTGTGGTGCAAGGTGAAGCAGTGGTCAGCTTATTCAGGTCAATCTTGGGGTGTGTTTGGATATGCCCGGTTGATGTCTGACAGAGGCTGAGCAAGACGCGATGTCTCCAACGCTTCCTTTGGATGACAGATTTGCGGTAATCGTTGAGCTGTCATGGCAGAGAGAGGCGTGTAGGAAGAAAGCAGTATTAGAGTGATAGTCATGGGTGATCTGGCGAGTAAGGACGAGAAAGGCGATATCATAACATCCTCCGTTCCTTCACCTTGCAAATTGACCCCTCAATTGCTGCTGCCCCTCCTCGTTTCAATCCCATGGCTGTTTCCTTTTGACGGGTCTGACCATGGGCCATCGACGTCAACCCCGCCTTCTTGGTTTGGCATCCTTCATAGTGACCCCTGTATTTCACTGCAACTTTGACTACTCATGAAGTTGATTGACAGCCCTGTCAGCCTTTTTTTTTTTCACTGCAACTTTAACCCATCCCAAGAGGTTACCGTCCACCAAACCTGAGCTTATCATCGACCAACGCGTTTTCAGGACCCAAGAAACGTTCACAAACACGGTAGCAAGCTCGAGGAGGTCGACCGAGATGGTATTCCATGAGCATTGCGATGGATACTCGCGGATGTCAAAGGGAGCAAGAATCAAGGGATCCATAGCGCTGACCACTGTCTCTCCGCAACTCTTCAGCCTCATGTGAGCACCCAACACCGTTGCAAGGGAGCTTGAGAGACATCAAACACACGCAAGGGCGATGAACCAACGATTCGAGCACTTCCTACCGAGTTCCTACTGGCTTTATAGCGGGAGGAGCGGCATCCTTCCAAATCCCATTCCGATCGTCAGCCGTCCGTCATCTCAGACACGGACGGATGCCTACCTACCATTCCCGCCTCTCACCTGACATCTCACATGAATCTCATCTCACATGAAGAGCGACTCACTCTGAACTCACCCGTCACAACTCTGCTTGGAATCATGCCATCCCACAATCCTCCGCCTCGTAAGGCTACCAACGGGCGACCCTTCGCCCGCGGCCCATCTTGGCCCCCAATCCCGCCCGCACCGCCGATCCCCCTTACCCTCTTCCCCGATCCAAGATGTGCACTTGTTCTCGAATCACACCAAACACCAAACGCGGTCATCGTATCATTCGCTAGGCAAAAAGGTAAACGCAAGCCACCCGTGCCACCGTCACATTGGGAGTCGTAGCCTGGTCACGGGAGTACCTTGCACTTTCACGCACCTCTTGTACCTTGGTGCCCACCTTAACCACCCAGGCACATGGTATCGCCAAACGCCAAAAGTAGATTCGTCACACTCATGAACGTAACCGTGCTGAGACTTGTCACAACATCAGCCCCCCTTCAACGCCAGACGCTCCCAAGAAAAGAACACCATTGTAACCCGAGGAGCAAGTCTACACGGCACACCTAAAGTAAGCGGTAAACCATCCCAAGAGGGGGAAAACGTGGTATCACTGAGACTGCCGACGCCATGCACACCACCCGCGCCGCTGATTGGCGAGATTAGCGCTGAGCCCGAATTTGGAGCACACTTTCCCATCTCCCATGTTCACACGTTCACGTACTCCGTACATACAACACCAGATCCCTACAGTACAACCTAACACACACACACACGCATCTTTCTTTCTCATCCTCCCTCCCTCCCTGCTCATCTTTCCAACCGGCCAGCCGGCCACCCTGATTCCCCAGCCTTGCCATATTCCTTCTTCCTCGTTGGACGCAAACCGCCAAAACCAACCACCTGAGACTTGCACGCCCCCTCCCGTCGGGGGAAACAATCATCATCCTAGATGTAGGTACCCAGACTCAAAGTAGACTGATTCTTGGGGGGGAAAGCAAACGACCAGCCGCCCAGACGCCCGCCATGACCACTTCGTCACACCGAGAGAGACCCATCCCACCTGAATATTCCCCTGCTCACCTTTTCGGTGCTTTTGGTCCCCTCCGTGACAGGGAGAGGACCTGAACCCGGTGTGCTACCACACCCACCACACCCACCATATCTACATCCCCAGCTGTCCTCCATCCAACAAAGTTCACAGAACTGCAGACAGTGCAGAGTAACCTCCCTACCTAGTTGCCAGATTTCTGAGTGATCTTCGTTGCCGGCTAACATTTGTCAATTTGATGGCTATATCTCAAATTAGAACCAGCCGAGAAATAGCTTCTACTGCACCTGGAAGACACACCACCGCCCGATAAAAAGGCCCGCCCGGACCAGGAGGTGTGCCACACCGGCCGGCCGGCCGGCCGGCCGCGTCTTCTTTTTTTTTCTTTTCTCAACAGCGAGTATTTCCCGTACACGGCCGCCCCACGCTAACGGCTAAACACCCCCCTAACCTCTCCCGTCGCCGCCGTTGTTTCGTCTCGGCAGCGCGTTCTATCTTTTGCCTGCCGTTCAAATCACTTGCATGTATCACCAAATAAAGTCTAGAAAAAGAAAAGAAGCCATCATCGGGAGTCATCACCCGAGTCTGCTCGATTGCTGAGATGTGATATCTTGAGAAATCCCGTTCTCTGCTTTGTCGCCCCTGACCTTTCCTGTATCCAGAGGTATTTTGCTCCCACAACATGCGCTGCCTCAGTCTCATCAGCTTCGTGTAAATCTTCACGCTCACCATCATCCTCTAACACAGACGAACAGGCCAAAGTAGGCAGACATAGTGACAGAAGCATGACTCACCCACGACCGTGTCTACACTCTACAGACGCGCCGTCATCGTCCGTCTCATCCTCACATCCAAACCTGAACCCCCCCCCCAAATGCTCCCGGACCCCAGTGTAGTGTAAACGCACGTCCGCAGCAAACCGGCTGTGCAAACAAGCCCTTTTTATTTTTGATTTTTTTGAGGAGCATCCGAACCACCACTGCAACCTCAAGAGTACAGACACTCTGACACTGTAACCGTGCCCCCCCCCCCCCCCCCCCCCCCCCCAAATGAACCCTGAATTTGAAAAAAAAAAAAAAAAAAAAAAGGAAAAAGAGGCCAGTCTTTGTTTCCTCCCGTCCCATCTATCAGTCCGGTCTTTTCGTGAGGTGCTTTGCTCAGACCCCTATGCGCTGGCCTACCTAGATCTCTGAGGAAGAAACACAGACTGGCTTGAAAAAAAGGAAGCAAGTGTTCCGCGAGACCCTGAGTGTGTGTACTAGCAAAGCCATCTAGAACTTCATCACAGTCCTCGTGTTTCCTCTCATCGTCGCTAATGACCTTGAACAACAACGTTCGCACACAGACGGGCGGGAAGATACCTCCCCGATGGGAAACGCGTCTTAGTCTTTCCTTTTCCCTCTCATCAGGACCAGGCTGGCTGGCTGGCTGACTCCGTGGCATCGAGTCAAGACACTAACATAGGCAGTCTCATATTTAGTCTCACAGTCCTCACACATTGCAACACATCAACAAGAGACATTTGACACCAGCTCATGCAAGCCCGTTGAGGGATTTTCAACACAAACATTGACACATTTTCCAAATCCAAATCATGGTGTTCTGTTTCTCCAAGCCGTCCAAGCCCCCAAGCCCGACGCATTCCCGCGTCTCCAAAGCAAGTGAGCCCCATCTCCTTGGGCGTGTGTGTGCAAAGGAAACAGTTTGAGTTCAAGACAGCGAATATCTCTCCGCCTGAAGCTGCTGCTGCGCGAAGAATGTACAGGCTACCTAGATCCAGAAGCAGAATTCCACACCAAAAAAAAGATCAACCATGAAAAGTGGAGTTGAAGAAACCAGACGGGGCCATGATGATATGCAAGTAATCACAGCCCAGATGACTACACATTTCTATTTCTCTCTCAGAGTCTCAGTCTCAGTCTCAGTCTTTCGCACTCCTCGTAACCCTAATCTTCACGCCCCCGTCAAGAAAAACCTCTAGACGGAGCACACACCGGATGAACAATCCACAGACCACGGTCCCGTGTCCGCTCCCCTCTCCCGCTCACTCCGCCGCATCATCCGGGCTCTCAAATCCACGCATCCATCTCCATATATGAGCTTCTACCTACAATTGCCAGCCTCCGGAATACCTAATCAACTAGTCTAGACATCGTCCCCACGTGATGTCGCGCATAGCAGGACCCTAGTCGCATGAAAAGACCTCCCCCCCGCGCGGAGCCATTCGCTTACAAGTTTTACAAGGGTGGCTGGTCGCGAAAATGACCTCATAACTGTCCTCACGATCGAACCACCGTCTGCCAAATCCCAAGGAACCGCACGGACGAACAAGGGTCTCTTTTTTCACGATGGCTCACTCGCTCCTTCTTTTCCCTGGAGGAGCCACGTGGGAAATCAGGACCCCGGTAGTATATGTTGTGAGGATGACGTTGATGTCGGCCACATCCCATGTCACTTCCATCGCTCGTGGTCAACCATCAGAGTGTCGACGACACATGTCACATTGCAAATCATAATGGGCACAGATGTTAAGGATGGTGGTACTAATTGATTTCTGCAACTATTTCTCAGACTCGCGTCGCCCACGGAGCCAGTAACAAGGAAAGGAAGGGGTATATCCAGCTCCTCCGTTATCTTCCTGCCAGTTCGAAAGGAAAAACGTTTCGACTCTCGTAATGATCGAGTCGTGTGAACAATAATAAGTAAAAGTGACGAGCAGCGCTTCCAGTGCGGCGTGTTGTGGATGCGGTAGTGCAAACCAGAAAAAGAACAAAACCAAATATTCAGATCCCGAGCATCCGTCTAGTAAAATTCAACTTGTCGTCGCTGCATCCTTGCAAATCGACAACCATATTACACATAACTGTTGTTTCCCTGTTGTGCGCACAAGCTTTGCGATGGCGAGGTTCCAAAATGGTTGAACCAAGCCCAGTAAACAATGAAGCATTCCTGATAAAAGCGCAAGCACGCTGTCCTTTTTCCATGACTGAAACGTGTTCCAGTCGCCCGTGGTAATCATTTCGCAACCAAAGCATGCTTTTGATGTCCATCCTTGTAACACAAGGTCGATGATGCCGTGCGTTCGTTCGTTCGTGTCGTTCTCGTCCCGTGTAGGTTCGGGTCCGTGTGGTATCTTGGGTATCGCAAAGAAAAAAGTCCTTGGTGTGTATCCCCGATGCATAATAGCTCGCGCCAGATTATGTTTATGGTGATGAATAGAGGGAAATCCAAATCCGTCGTGTTTCAGTGACATGGAAGAGGAAACTCCCTGGAAAAAAATGAGATCCGGAAAACAGATTCCTAATCGTACAATTGGCAACTCCATCCGTCGGTTCGATATTGGGTTTTCTTGTTTTTTTTTTTGGTGATATGAGGTTTGGCTCCGATGGTTCATCCGTAGGCTTCCTTGAGGTAACTCCGTCCATGGAATATGGCAGCATAGACAGAAAGGAGACCACGGGAAAGTGTCCAAAGAGAGGGTCCGTTTACTTCGCCGGGTTCTTGAGAATATCATCACAGTTGGCGTCGAAACGAAGGATGAAGAGACGAACACCTTGCATGAATCGCTCAGTCTTGTCCAACTCGCGTTCGATGCCGAACAGAGTCTCGACGAACTGGACACCGGCGTTCTTGCCAAGAGAAGAGGACTTCTTGCTGGCCTTGAGCATAGGTGCCTCGCAGGTCTTGAGAAGCTTGCGAAGCTTGTCAGTCAGGCGCTCACCAGCGTCAATGAAGTCATCGAGGATCTCCTTCTTCTCAGTGCTGCGCACGCGTTCAATGGTCTCCTCTCCGCGCTTGATCTTGCCAGCCAGCTGGATCAGTAGTAACCACAGCTCACCAGCCATATCAGCAATGGGGGTGGCAGGTCCGTGATGGAAGACGGTCCAGTCGTAGATCCACTTGCCCAGGGAGTTGGAGTCAAAGACACTGCCCAGAAGAAGAATAGGCTCCTCGGTGGGATCCCAGTTCTTGAGTGAGTATCCTGGGGGGATCTTGTGCTTCTTGGCGTCATTCTCGTTGGCCGGGCGAGATACCGGAGGCGGTGTGGGCTTCTTGGCCTCGGGCTGGGGTTGGGCCTTCTTGGAGGACTGAGAACTGCTACCGGGGCGAACGGTGGAGGGCCTCTGGGGAACCGAAGTCGAGGCACGGCGGGAATGGGTGTTTGCAGGGGTGCGGGAGGGGCGAGGCTCATAGGCCGGGACATCGCGCTCAATGTAGGCAAAACCGCTCTGTGTGTGGGAACGGTAATCAGTGGGATATCCTCCGTCCTCAAAGTAATAAGTCTCCTGAACAGAATGCCTCTTGCTCCTCGCCCTTGACGACTTGCCCGGCACCAGGTAAGTACGGCCATCCACTTCGATAATCTCGTCGTCGGATTCTCCGTGGGGCGTTGCAGCCCGTACATAGACAAAAGAAGATCGGCGCTCGCGCGGTTCGTGCGACGGAGTGGCCCATGAATGCTTGCGCGAATGATGACCACTACTCACATTTGCCGTGGCATAGTAGCCATCGCTCGTGTATCGAGGCGACGCCGTCGGCGGACGGGGACTGTACTCGCTGAAGCCACTGCTGGCGTTGCGGAAATGGGCGCGGGTTGCCGGGCGCTGGGGGGTTGATCCGGGCGGGTAGTAGTAGCTGGCGGGACCACGGGGGGATGGGGTTGGCGTTGCTGACTGCATTCGTTCCCGGGTGTAGTAGTACTCGTCGCCGGGAGTAGATGCGTAGGGGGATGGGTAGGCCATGTTGACTGATGGCTCTTTGTGGCGACGTCGATGGGAGGCGTCCACGATGTTCTTCTTCAAATCTTGTCTTCTTCTTTTTCTTCTCTAGCAGCTTCCTCTGCTAGTTCTCACGTCTCCCCCCAAAATGTCGGTATAGTGTGTCGATGCGGATGGTTGATTCCAGGGCCAGGGTGTCGCGCGGGTGTCGAGGCGCGAAGAAAAGGTGAAGCAAGTCACCTTGGTATGCGGTCGGAAAATAGAGGAGAGGAAAGTTGTCTTCTGTGCCCGAACATGACCAAGTTTGATATAACTGCTACAGGTTACCCTCGATGACCAAGGATTAAAACCAGATTACCGAGCGCGGGAAGAAATCTTCTCGACGTCGGTGGTGTCTTTTGGATGGAAGTTGCTGGAGGCTTCTCGGAGGGAGCCAGCGAAGCAACAAATGACGTCTCTTTCCTGAGGTTGTTTTGAAAGTGGTTGGCAGCCGAAGCCGAAGCTGTGAGTGTCAAAGAATATTCATTGAATGGCAGAAGCCAAAAACATGAGAAGAGAGGAGAAGTTCAAGAGTAGTGGTGAGGGCAGCGTGGTATTTAATTACTTGGTGCGTTTTTGTGGGAGAGGAGAAGGGAGGAGTGGGAATGCGCGCGATCCACAGGGCGTGGTAGTCGCACCGGGGCGTGGTGGCCTGGCCGGAGGGACCAAAGCAGCTCCCTTTTCTGATCCCTGTCCCCCCCCTGCTGCAGAGAAGGACAGGGGTGGCAGGGGTGGCTGGCTTGCCTTAGCGTACGAGGACACGGAACCTGGGTCCAATTTAAAGCGCCCCCTCTTGGGAGGGAACACAGAGAGGGGTGTCCCTATGCCTCTACTTTCAAACAAAGTACTTCGTGCTCGCTGCTGTTCTGCTTGGTGAGTAAAGGGAGAGAGGGGGGATTACTCACACCTCGGGATCCCGGTCTGGCCGCCGCAGAGATGGATGCCCGCGCGAATACACCGTACGGTGTTGACTGGACCCCTTTTACACGTTGGGTGAGTGCTTGTCTCTCTCCCTGGCTTGTTCACCTCTCGGCGATAGACCAATAAACAACCCGTTGTCTGGCCTTGCGTCGCTGTTCGTCCTTCGTTTGTGCGTTTGTTCAAAATCGCGCGGAAGCAAGCGGCGACTCAGATCCTCAGACTGTCCAAGCCCGTCAAGTCCGTGGTTCAGCCAGCTGTCGCGACGCACCAATGCGCAGTCCAGCTTAGGTTGCTTTGCTGGGGCTGAAAAAGTTGCAGTAGTCGTAGTCGACGCTTACTGCTGGACAACGACGATGATGATGATGATGTCTCCAGCCTGGTTGGCCACGCGCCCGGTCAGAATATGTCAATTACCGTCGTGTAGCGTACTCGTGGCACAGCTCGACCTAAATGCGCTTTGGTTTGTTGCTGACTCGAGAGAAGCTCCTGGAAATAGAAAAGACACACACACGATCGCACTCCCAGAGGCACGTCCGTGGAAATAAGGGGTGGCAGTGAAGAATGCACCTGGTCGTCCAGGCCACTCTGTGCAAGTAGCAACTCGATTCCCAACGTTGGGCACTGGCGCGCTGGACCCCTTTGATTGCTTTTTTGATTGTTCGAGTCACCGTCACCGGGCAGTGACACACACTTTCTTTCCTCTCTTCGGCCCAGGTTGATTCTGATCGATGTCCTAATTTCAACCTTCCACATTGGTCCTTCGCCGGGGTTGGAATGGCAATGAGCCAGAGCAGGCCCTCGTCCACCGAAAGGTGAAGATCGATATTCACACCTTGACGCTGAAATTAGCCACACCAGTATCAAAATCCGGTCACCACTTCTGATAGCGACTCCGGCGCCCTAACGGCTGGGAACGTTTAACACCCTGACCACACAGGCGGACTCAGGACTGGGAGGCCTTGTCGTTTCAATGAGTCGACGCCAACGTCCGTGGGACCCCCGGCTGGCGGTTCCTAGTCCCCGGGCGCAACTTGTTCGTGGATGAGCAAGAGAGGCGAGGGGCACCGAAGAAAAAAAAAAAAGGTTCCAGAGATAAAGCCCAGTGATCCTTGTGAAAGTAGGCGCTGCCGTGTGGGTAAATTTACCGGTGACAGGTAAGCGAAATTGGGTCTTCGCACGAACAGGCGTGGAATTTGAATTTTGGAGATGGCTTCCACCACACCAAGGAGAGGGGGGGGAAAAGTCTCCAACGGTGCCGGTGCCACGGGGGAATCTCACCGGGCCAGTGCCGCTACTACGTAGAGCGTCCTAGGTGAAAATTTTTCTCGTTCCCCTGGCGTAACGTGGCTGGCCGTAGTTTGGTCCTTGATCGTCCAACACAGGGTTGCAATTGTTGGGATTCCGAGGGTGAATCACACCGTGTCAAGGTGAAGGCCACCGAAACACGAGCCCACTAGCCGACGACAAGCCGAAAGGGCCTGGAAAACTCAATGCAATTGCTGGTATGGAGATGATTTGGTGATTTGGCGATTTGGCGTTGCAATCTCGACGGGATTCCACAAAGGATCAATGGGATTCAAGAAGGGATCGTGTACGACAGTAGTCAACTGTCGCTGATTTTGACCATGCGCCCGACCAGAGGCAAGAAGAAGATCGGCCCCCGAATTACTTTGGGTGAGGCTGGTGCGTGTTATTGAAGTTGGTGGTGGTGATGTTGTTTGTGTGGTCGTGGCCGGGTGCTGCCTGCTACTATTGCTCCGTGCGCCCTCGGTGAGGCGGTTCGGACGAGCAAGGCAAGGTTGGCCGTTGTAGTAGAGAAGGACGGGGGTATTGGGCTTGATGAAAGATGAATCCCGGTCGCGACCCTGGAGGATAGATCAGAATTTTTTCGTCCTCTCCTCGAACCCCGGCCGCTACACGTCTGTCTGGTCGACGTTGAGGCGCGGTTGATTCGATGCTTCGGTCCTGATGGCAGATGAGATCTACCGTTGCTCGAACTGAGCAAGTTCGGACCGTGGTGTCTTGTATCCGTATGGGGCGGAACTTGGAAGATTGGAACTCGATAGAAACGGTTGGTGGTTGCGCGCCAAGTGCTGCACGACGGGAAGAAGCTAAGAGCTGGGGTTTGGAGTATCGGGTCGCTCGCTTGGTAATCCCGCCGCCAGTGAATGCTGACTAGGTGCTGACGGCTGTCGCGACCGCGATTGAGCGCAGTCGAAACTGGGTAGCCTGGTCAGTCGATGGCTCAAGACAACTTTGGAAGCTCTCTGGAGGAATGTGCCGGCTGTGTGGTGCAACAGCGGATTGATTTATGTTTGGATGAGTTGTGTGACAAAGATGAATAGTATGTCGCAAGACCACCTCAGGCAGCGGCGCCGTCATTCGCCTGCTTCGTATCAGGTGCGTGTCCTGGGGATGATGAAGTTGCAAACGGACCAACGGAGCGTGGGTATTAGAAACGGAGGGGATGCAGTCGATGGCGAGAGGTGCAAGGAAGGAACAGGAGGAAGGAAGTATTGAGGAAGTCGCGGCGCATGTGAGAAGGGAAGGAGTCAGAGAGAACGTTCTTGTATTTTAAAGAGGCAATCGTGTAGAGCTGGCACGGGATAAGGTACGGAACAGCAAACAAGAAACATGAGGCAGGAGCAAGTCAGATGCAAGTGCACATGAGGAACATTCTGAGGTTGAAGCTGCATCAACGATCTAACCAAGGTACGAATACCTACTTCGTACACATTTGAGCCCTACCCAGGCATTGCATGCATGATGGATCACGTTGGCATGGGAGGGGGAGGGGTACGAGTGGCTTTCGGGGATGACGGGCATCAAAGTGCAACTTTTCTCAGATCCGATGCTGTGATGCCATTTGCTGCTTGTTTCCTTCCCATTTCAATTCCCCCGCATCGCTAGTCACCTGGAACTCTGGCTGGGTAGTCGGCGCGTGCATGATAAGAGGGAAAGATAAGCAGAGGCTCAACTTTGGGGGATAGATGGCTGATAGTGAGGTGCACATATTCACACCATCGTGAGATTCACCAGTGAGAGGAGACTTGGAGTGTGATATGGCAGGTGACGGGTAGTATCTATTGCAGCCTGTACGCTCCTCTCTTCGCCAACGTGAAATGTCAAGTGACTGGCGAACAAGCGCCCGTCAAACGTGAGGGTGAGCACCTATAGAATATGGAGTATGACGATTGGGAGGGAACGATGCGTGACGGAGTGACATTGCGGAGGTTCGCATCTTGAGTGGAGGAGTTCGCCCATCACATGCACCCCAAGTCACCCAACGCCCAACGCGGGGTGACGGGAGAGCGGAGCATGCAGCAAGAGCCCAGTGATGGCCAGAATCGGCAAGGCGGCCCCATCTCGGTTTTCTAGAACGGAAATCACATTGGGCCAGCCATCCCTTCCCTGCCCTTCCACGCCTTTCCTATTAAGAGCCAATTGGAAGGAGTTCTTCCTGCGCGCTTGCTCTTTCCAGGTTTGCTGTGAACCTCACCTGCCTCACCTGCCTCACTTTCCTCACCTTGATTCCTCTGAAAGGCAGGAACGAAGGGGGAGAAAGAGCCACGTTACGCACCTTTTCTTATCAACAATCCAAATGTACGTACCTTTTGCGTCTGGTAAACCACCGTCGGGTGCCACCTCAGGATATCGACGTAATTCTCCCGACAAACATCATTCAACATCCACTGGTAAAGCTGCATCGTTCCGACTCCTAGCCAGAAGTTCGGGTGGCCGCATCTTCGGACGAGATGGCCTTGGTCGATACGAATATCCGTACGGAGTACCTGCCCCTGCATTAGAGTGTGCGCCACAGCTGGGATGAACCCGAGAGCATCCCCAACTTGAACGTTAATCACACACTTTATTGGCATGGTAAGTTACAGTGCGTATGCAGCCTTTTTTGCCTCCTCCTGTCCGTCAACCTTTCTAGTCTCCATCCTCTTGTCTCTATGCCCGTATTCGTACACTCAATGACTGTTGCTCAGTGTCCGTATTCCGCTAGCTATTCAGCTCCGACCGCACGGCACTGCTTGTGCGAGACTCCACAACAGCCCGGCGCTGACTCGACGTCAACACAAATCGCAGGCCAACCGACGGGACGGAAGACCGGCGGCGGCGACCAGGGACGACGCATGTGGATACTCTCCTTGCTCTGCTCCATCGAATGGGATTCATTCCAGAGCCATTGGCCATGACCTCAGTCAACTCCATCCACTGAGCGGCCCAGAACCCACACTACATCGCCAGTCGCTAGCCCTTGGTTTCTTCTAGCCCGCCAGCCCTCTGGAGTCAAATCCACAACTTTGGGCCTTCCGGATGAACTCGAATACCTTCCCCGTTGCCCGCCGCCCCTCACGCCTCCATCGACTACTACCGACCAAGTTTGCATTTCAGCCAGGAGCACCCCGTTAAACGTAGCGCCCTTCGAATCTTGGGGTTACTTGCCACGGCTTGCCTCCTTTTAGAGACCGTCCGCCACCAGCTCGTCATGGCGTCCTCCCTGCTTGCGACGTGGCCGTCCCAGCCTCCAGGCGGCCTCACTTCACCTCGTCCACCGTGACCAATTTTCCCGGTGTGCGGTGTGCTCGGTCAAATATCTCCCTCACCCCTGGTCGTGGGACGTGCTCCCGACAAGGGGTGAAAGGGGGAGGTGGCTGGTGGAGAGGCCGGCGATGGTCCTGTCTCACCTTGGCTCGCCTCTTACACACCGGCCGACGTACCCAAATTGTGGTCGCTCTCGGGCCTGGTATTTTTGACCGGCATCTACAATTTCGCCCACATTCATTGGTTTCTCACCTTGCATCCTCGTTTGTTTTTATTGATCTTGCTGATCTCAGAGGGCAACGCAATTGGCGGGCAGTAGGCAGTGCACCATGACCCTGGTCAATTGCGGCCCAAGCAGCTGCTCAACCCAAGTATTGGGTGCCAACAATATTTACCGTCGACAAGCTGGATTTTACAGCAAAAGTCCTGACCTCGTGTCCGTCATACCATCCTAGACAAACTATCGGAGAGATTGTCCTAGGATTCTCCTTGGAGCATGAGGCTGGTTAACACCAACTCTATCCACACTTACACCTATTGACAGAGGTGTTCACTTGGCTGTCACAAGTTCACAACAAACTCGAACTTCTTTTGTTCACCGAAATAAAAGTCTAGTGGTCCCCTCGGAGAACTGCAAAGGATTGCAAGGGCGTTTACGGCTCTGCGTCTGTCAGCCTTCGGGAGCGACATGCCCTGATGTATCCCGTCCTAGTGGCAAGCTCAGCTAATGTGCAGCCACTGAAGGAAACCTAAACCTCGATCCTACGCGCGCTTTAGTCGAGGATTAGCTAGGGCCGGACAGGCGCTGCGATGCGAGCAATAGAGGCGACAGGCGCCCTAGGATCACAACTGCAACGATTTGAACCCCTGGAATGTCCATGTGGTCTTTTATCCGATGCGCTGCGCTGTGTACGGATAGGGCAGCGCATGCCATGAGTCTTTGCATCGACTCGACTCACCTCACCCTGCGAAACTGCCGCCGCGGTCTCATCGGTCATGGCTTTCGTACGCATATGCACTACCGTTGTTGTGGCTCGGCCTGGCCTACAAGCCCTCGGACGACCTGAGTCGCGTCGTGTCTGTCTTGTCTTGAACCAAGTAGCCTCATGTCTCGGCCGATGTCTGTTTTTCTCTTTTCTTCTCGTCCGTGCTCATCCGTCGCATCTCCCACCCGTCTCACGGACACCTACCTCGACTCACTACCTGACTATCCGTACACGTCCGAATGAAAGGGACCATCCGAGAGCAGGCGGCAGAAAAAAGCCAATTCAACATCAGCATTCCTGGATTTGACTGAGGCTCCCAGCAACATCTTACTTCAGAGGCAACCGGCATCAAGTCAAGCCCTAGTTCGTTTCTCACCGATGGCCACCGGCACCCCGGCATCGTTAGGACTGACCGAGATCGACTTACACGTTCATTTCGTCAACCATATCCGTACTTCACCAGCCATAGTACTGCATACAGTCGGTCTTACTGTATGGCTGCCACCAGTCAACGGTCAAGACTCAGTCCTCGACTCCATCAGTCCGGTTTCTTGACCGCATATAACCACTGTCTCGGTTTGCTCCATCTATCGACAGGCCACTTGTTTGTGCGAGCCACCGATATGGGAAGATGGGCCTTTTCTCTCGTCTTGAGAGTATATTGCCAGGCCACAAGCTTCTGATGTCCTTCTTCCTACACGCCCCTTTCCCCTGCTCCCTGCAGTGAAGGCACATAGCGAGCGAGATAGCGTCACACAGGCTACTGTTCCTAGCGTGCCGGGTGGAGTTGATGGAGGTAGCGACATTTCGAACACCCTGCTTCAGCTCCCCTGCTGCAGTTGCTGCAGTTGGAGACGGTTCCACACCGGTCCAGCGTCTCCCGTCTCCAGCATTGAACGTCTTCTCCGAGTCCTCGACCTTGTCTCTCCTCCACTCTCACCCAGCCGTCTGGCTAGACGCCGCGCGCACGCTCTGGCGCTGGCTTGTGACGACAGGGCTTCAGTGCGTCCTGGATCTCGCTTGCTAGGTTCGCTTCATCCCACCACAAGGAGAAAAAAATACCCTTTTTCTCACTATTATTTTGTTCTAGAAGATCGCACACCTCTTTGGCCCTCCCTTCACCTGCACTTCACCGCGGGCCGCGATACTCGGTCAGTGGCTCGTGGCCCAGTCTTGACCGTGGCCTTGACTGTCTGTTTGTTTTTTCTCAACCGCGCTATGTATTCGTATAGTGGCAGGCGGAAGACTTGATGCTTCCCTGCACGTTGTTATTGTTGTCGTTGTTGACCCCCGTCGGCTAGTGTCAGTGTCGGGTGTGTGCGCGTGTGCCCTGACTCCAAGACTCCCGAGGTGCCATGCGTGCCCATGCGGCAAGTTGCGCCAAATATTCTGTGTGTGCGTACTGTAATTTGCTTTTTACCCGGCATCGATGTGAAAATTTTTCATCTTTCACCGAGAATAGAGCACGTCTCATTTCACTCCCCGTCTCTCCTCATTCAAGACCACTCTCCCATCATGCCAGCCCTACCACCATGTCATAGCACCAGGTGCGGGAATGGGACGGTCGCTGCGGAGTGACTCATAGGAGTGCTCATCAAAGCAGGCCATGATACACCACAAGAGGTGTGCAGAATGTGCGGTCTGCGCGCGCGGTGTGGGAGGAGGAGTGAGAGAGAAGGAAGAGCGAGAGGAGCCCGCTATGGAAAGCCTCATGTCGTCCGTCCCAACATTCACGACTCCGGCTGCACTGCTGTCCAACAGCCCAAGGCTGTCGGCCATCTGTTGCACCTATCAAACTTTCTCGGAGCCCTCCTTACGGTCACCCAAGGGAGGGCTTTGGTCCTGATTGGGTGTCAATGAACACGTCGCACTGCGAACTTGACAAAATCTCCTCCTCCGGCGCACCAGCTCATACGGCCAGTCAAGTCGATTGTCGGACGGCCAGGGCCGCTGGGAGGGGGACGCTACTGCACAACGAGGGCGGCATCCGCATCCCTAATCCTGCGGCCGGCAGGGGTCCACCGCATTTTGCATTGTCTTCCCGGCTGCTTCATTCATTCCCGTCATCTTCGACTCTCCGTCTCTCCGGTCACTGGCGTCTGTGGTATTGCTCCCCTAGCCCAACACCTCCGACGCATTGCAACCATTTGACGGCCAGCTTCGAATCGCACACACCCACCCCCTCGATATCGAAACACGACGCATCGAATATCCACTGACGATGCCCTCACTGACGTCTATTCGTCTATATGCCCACCGCCATGCAGTCGGTCCATGTTCACCCATGGTCGATGCTGCCGGGCCATCAAATACACACCACCGCATTCGTCCACTCCGCCCGTTATACAAAGCTCACGCCCTTCTTCGACCAATACCGTTGGGACTGACAGCCATTTTTGGACAAAAATAGGCAAGGACTCTTGCAACCGCCTTGTTATTCTTCTTTTCCTTCCTTGCTGTTTTCTGTTCCCGGCACTCCGGGCCCAGACCGCAAATGTGACAGGCGCAGCGCGATAGCCCCTCCTCACCGACTCTTTGCGTCCATGGCAACCGCCCTACCATTACCGCATTCCACCTTACGGACTGGCGGGGCACTTGCATGGCATTGCATGTTGTTGCAGACGCGAAGGAGGGAATAGGAGGGGTTTTTGCTGCTTCATGCCCTATTTTGACTTTTTTCCATCGTTTCTGCTTTCTTTCTGTTGCGCAGTGGTTCAAACGAAGGAAAAGAATTGCCCGCTGCCCCTGGTTAGGTTGAAGATGCCGCATGCGCCCGATGACCATCGATAGGGTCATGTTAGGGCTCGGTGACGTCGACGATGCGCACACAAGTACCACTGTTGGATTGTACAATTGTACGATTGTCTAGACCAGTGTCAGGTGGTTCCGAGTGAGGCCATCGCCATCACAAGACGGTGTGGCGCATATGGGTTTGCTAATTGTGATGGTATCTGGGACGTACGATACCTTGACAACACATACACATGGTCACTAGGAGGATCAGCTCACACGAGGAGAGAGATATACGAGCACAGAAACCGAGCATTCCATCTCCCTAGGATTCTACTAAGCTGCTGGCTGATCCTGTGATGGATTCGGACTACGATCGCCTCTTACCCCGGGGCTGCGGTATAAGCGACAAGCGAGAAGCGAAGAGAAGCGGGATACAACGTCTTGCTGCTCGTCTTCTGTCTTCGCCATGCAACCAAGTGGGAACACGCATGGTGGGAACTAGAAGAGAATCGCGTCTGTTTCGACGGTGGACCGCGGGTACATAGGAGCGGCACTCTTTGTTGCTCTTCTCAGCTTCTTTCCTCCGCCCCGGTTGGCGGAGTGCATTATCGGCGGCCGATCATGAGCGGTAAGCGGCAAGACCGCGACGGATAAAGTTGTCCGTCGATGTCCTAGCGAAGAGATGCCAGGCCCCTGCTCTAAAGGGCCCCTGGCTCGATGTGTATGTAGACCGATAGGAAGGGCGGCCGGCTGGCCGGTCTCCCAGCCGCTGTCTGTTTTCACGATACCCCCCCTTGTCAAGGGCTTTTCGATCGTCTTCACATCCACGTTGTTCTAGATTCGTTGAAGATGCTGAAGATTTCCTTGATTTTCAGTGCGTTTGAGCTGCGAGGGCCTGGCTCCGTAGACCATGAACAACGCATCGACGGACAGGGTTGCGGCAACGGGCGAGCGAAGCCTCAGCACGTCGCACGCCGCACGCCGCACGCCGCACGCGCTTGCTCCTGCGCCTGGGGCCATGGGGAAAAAAGCAGGCATATGTACGGAGTATGCTTCTTGGGGGTAGGGAACGGCAAGCCAACGGATGGTGTCCTGGTCCCGTCTGTCGCCCTGCGCTGCGCTGCGGTCTGCACGCCTTGCCGTAACGTCACGCATGTCTGTCTGGCTTTTTGGTCTTGGCTCTTCTTTTTCGACTGACCTTGATGGGCCCCGCTCCATTATCATCCTGGTCGTGCGGCCGGGCGGTGGCACCTTATTCCAAATGGACTTGCTTGCGTTTGCCGGGCAGTAGGCATCGGGCCATGGTCCCCTTGTTCAGACTAAGAGCAGCAGCTTTATGGGCCAGGTCACCCTATCGAGTATCGCGAGAGAGGAGTATGGCTGACTAGTGCTTCCATGGGAGATGCTGCGGTGACAGATTTGAGCTGGACCTGTCTGGGGCTTGGGCTAGGTTGGTACCGAGGGGGTGGGAGGAGGGTTCATTGGGGGAGTGTGCATGGCGAGGGCTTTCACAGAGGGTTTCTCTGACCAAGAGGGGCACTTTATTCCACTGGTGAGTTTTGTAATTCGTTGTTGGAGGTTTTGGGTTTCCATTTTCTTGGATTTTGGAGTGCATTTTTTCTTTTTGAGAATTCGCGAATCAGTGTAGCGAATTGCTGTGCATCTAGGGAGGGGGTATTTTGGAGGGGTTTTGGATGTCAGGGCTGGTGATGCGTGTGAGTTTACTGGTCCGATGGGATGGGTATTGGTTGGGCCAATGAGGGTTGTTCTATAACATTTGGGACTTGCGATTTGGATATCCATCCGTTGTCTTGGAGATGATATCCACTGATTTTGGACAAGCAACCTCGGGGCCACTGGCAAGGAGGAAGTTGTGACAACACGGTAGAGGAGTATCATCGAGTCCGAGATAGTCGAGCTACACTGGCTTCCATCACTCGGGAAGATGATGACTCCGTCGGGATTGAAGTCATGAAGCCATGTGACTTTAGCTCGCACTTCTTCATCATCCCGACGCAGTCACGAAAAGAGCGAGAGCGAGATGGCGGAGGACGCATCATCAGCACGAAGCCACTCATGGCAGCATTCGTAGCGCAGGTGTGAGCCACAGCCTCGAATTGGCATGTCGTCAAAAAAACACGCGCGTACGAACCAACGTGCACCGGTGACTTGAAGGCAAACTAGAAGAAAAGTGCAAAACCCAGGCCGACGCCACAGCCGGCCGATGTACCCCAAGCATCCGGAACCCAGACCCAAGGCACAAAGGAACGGTCAGGGATATGGTGAGGTAAGCGATCCCTGGAAACATGTGGCTTAGCACCGCTTTGTAATCCTTGCCATGTGGCACAGTTTTTCCCTCGAGTTCCAGGGACGAGCGGTGATGACCAATAAAAAGCTTGGACGACACAAGAATTCGCCACTTTCGCCCGTCCCCGTCGCCGGATCTCCCGCACGGCGGGTCCTCTCCCCCCGGGGGTTCGGGTCGCGCTGAAGAGAGAGACATGGGACAAGCAGTGAAAGTCTGTCCGGACTTCAACACCCCCTTTGAGGAGTTGTGACTCTTATTTTCTTTGGTGTTCTATACAGAATGACAAATTGGTGATGTCCAGCCTCGATACCTGATACCCAACGGGAAAGAGGTACTTTTGAGGTAATGTATCTTTTGGACGATGGGGGGAAAGGACACGCCCCCTCTGGCGGAAGTCACTCAAGTACCTGTTTTTTGCCCTTTTTTAACTGGGTGAATTTTGGTACCGCGTGGGCTTATGACGCAGCACTTTTTTCTTGCTTGCCGCAGCATAAAGTGCGCTGAGCGTCGTGTGAGTGTGCGTGTGGTGGTGTGAGTGCCCATGTGTGGCGGACTCGGGCTGCACTGCGAAATAGTTCCAATCCATTTTGGGCAGCAACTGAGAGGAATCATGCTGCCAATACCTTACCTTATGCACAACGAGAGAAGGCCTGCCGCCCTGCGCGCTGCACCGCGACCAGGCTGCGTTTTATTTGAAAAATGCATGCTGATGCAAGGTAAATCGACAACGCATTTCATTGGAAAATCGTGCCAGGTCTCTTTTCTGCCTTCTTCATTTCCTTCTTTTTCTTTTCTGAGTCCGAGAGTCGAGGTAAGGTACATGAGGTTTTCCGTTGGGCGACACCGCGGCAGGGGAGACCAGGGCCCGGGGGGCTAGATCGATCCATCTACGGTATCCATCTGCTGACGAATGTCGGAATCCGTAGATTTCGATTTCGACATTTCGGTCAATGGCATGGCCAGCTGGCATGAGGTAAGGTACCTACTGTGTGTTGGCTGTGTTCCTTTACATGCTTTTTGGTTCTTTCTGCTAGTTGTTTCCTCTTCTTGGGTGACATGACATCTTTTTGTTGGCCTCATGGCCTCAGTGGTGCATCTCACATGCAATCGTCGCCGCCATACGCCGTCGGAGCTGATGCTGGCACTGGCGCCGGGCGTCTTATCTGCGACTACCTCACCTTTAGACGCCCTCGATCTCCGAGGCGTGTGCGTGTGTGCGTGCTGGCGACGGTGTGTGGTCGACATACCACCACCACCATCGACACACCCGAAACTTGGGTGTATGATTTGCTGGCGCTTTCGCGCACACCTGTGACTCACACCTGAGTTTTTTCCTTCTCCGAGTCCCCCGTTCACCACTCTCGTACTCTCTCTCTGTTACTTCGCTTTCCCTTACGGCGTGTCGGGAAAGGGGGGAAGAGGCTGTGCAACTCGATGAGGGAGTGGTTGTGATTGGTTATGAATGTGTCCGGGAGTTGCGGGTTGTTTGGGGCTGGTGTCCCGTGTAAGTAAAGCTCATGGGCATACGACTGGACACAGAGAGGCCGAGGGGATATGGCCACTCTTCTAGGGATTGGACGCGTCGTTTTTTGAGAGGCTTGTTTTGGGGGCCAGGCACCCGGGGACGATGACGACGATGATTCCGTTGCCTTGGGATTGTGGATGGGAGACTTGGGAGGTTGGGAGCGAATCGTTTTGGTGAAGCTTTCTTCTTAGGGATGGGGGTGGCCCCCGGGGTCTGTGTAGGCAGCAGTTGTGAGTTTTCACGAACTGTGATTGAGATTGCGAGTAAATGGTCTTGTTTGGTCGATTGAAATTTGGGCGAGTCGTCTAGATCAAGGTGTCTATAGCCGTGATGCTGTGGTTGTAATTGTGTGAGGTTGATACCATCAACGGATGACTCGTATGTTGGAATTCACCTGCCATGTTTTTCCAGTGCTCTTCGAAACAACGTGGCTAATGCAGCCCGTCTCGCGGGGATAGATGCGTAGTAAATGAGACTTTGCTAATATTTCGCAACACTTAACGGTTCATGAATGTGTCCCGTGGCATGCCCGGCAGTCGTGAAAGATAATTGCACGCCCCTCTACATCATAGAAATGTCACATTCATGGGACACAATCATAAGAGAATCCCCTATTGGGGCTTAAGGACTTCCAAAAACCGAAAACCGAGAAAAGTGTAAACGCACTGGGTAGTTGTGAATCATTTGATAGGTTCAGTGTACGAGCTCGATTTTCCTAGTCTATCTGGTAGCTAGTGAAACGTAATGCGGGTGCCTTGAGGCTCAACGAGATGCTGCTGGATGAGTTGTGATACTGATCACGGGCCTGAGGCAGATGACTCCTCGTTTCTCAGGACGCACATCGAGTGAGGCCTCCGACGTACGGGGTCAAGTTGGGACTTGAGGGTTTCTGCGGTCAAGCATGTGATCAAGGTTGGGTCCCATCGCGGTACCTTAGCTCATGATGAATGATGATACGGTGCGATCCAAGATCTCGTAGGTGTTGTGGGGTGAGTCATAGTGATGCTTCGGACGTTGTGTCGATTTATCTACCGTATACTCGTTTTAGCGTGATAGAACCGGGGATGCCTCGATATCCTAGACTTAGGTAGGTATCTCAACGTACATCTCATGATTCATTAGCTACCTGGATTCGGTACACCGAATGCCGAGACTCCTCGATTGAATGCGTTGACAGGAGTGAAGAGGCACAGGTCTCAAGCATCAACGCATTTACTTGTATGTGTCAATGAACATTTTATCAGTGCGACTCAAATCACCGTAGCCTTCCATGTTGTATGGTGTCTCACGTCGTTGTTTCTCTGCCTGACTCTTTGCCTCCACATACGAATCGGGTCCCGTGCAAACTTTGGGCTTCCCACTCAACACTGATGCCCATCGAGATCTGAGCGATAGGCATGGTACTCGCCGTGAAGTCTCGCTAACGAAATCAAGTCTATTTAGTTGACAGTAAACAGCCCTTCCACCTTTTGGCTTGCCGTAATCCTTAATGCAAACAAGCTGATACAGGTCTCAGCCGGTAGGTCATTTGTCACTTCCCAGCTACCACGATGATTCTTCCCAGACATAGCCCTCTATCGGAGACGAGAAGACAGGGCGTCCACTTGGGTCCTTTGACTACGTTTGAGAATCTGGGGCACGCCTAAATGACTTCGTGAATGCTTCTTCCAACAGAACCACGGCCTCATGACGCCTCCCGGATTTACCTCCTCTCCTAGAGTCCTAGGGACTATTGACTATCTTTGATGGATAACTCCATTGACAATTTCTAGGCTCTAGCTACGTAGGTAACTGGAAATCCAGCTTAGACATTAAGATAGACGCTCTGTTAGGCTTCTGATTCTCAAGGTAGTCAGGGACTCCAAGTAGGATGTCAAGCAGAGACCAACAGTGGGCATGTATGACGGCGTTGATGAAGGAAATCGAGTGAGCCCAAGTCTTTGAAGGCTCGAAAGAAACGTCAGAAAGAGAGAGAGACGGGTAGAAGAGGATCTGCATTACTCGATATCTCAAAAACTTTACAGATCCATACATGGTTCACAAAACGAGAAGGCCATAGGTATCGCAGCAAAAAGCGCCAGCAATGCCAACGCCAATGCCCTCCCCCCCCCCCTTCCCCTCCTCTCTCTCTTTCTATTGACAAGCCGAGATTCACTTTCTCTCACATGGTTTGTTGCTAGATAAACCATTGATAAGGGACTGCTCAACTCCAAAATAACAAAAGATTGAGTCCTAGGCCAAGGAAACCCACCACAACAGCAAAAGACTGCGTCGAGGGGGAATCGAACCCCCGGCTCCCCGACGCTGCTGGATGGCAACGGAGAATTTTACCACTAAACCATCGACGCTGAAGAAGCTGATGAGCTGTGATGGTTTCAATCGCGGGATTGTGCGTTGACTAGGGATGTGGTGCAGGTGGGTGGGTTGTGGTTAGATTGAGAGGGTTTCTGGACCCTGATGTGTGTGGAGCATGCGCCGGTGGACAGGGGTTTGGACCGCTCAAGATGTTCCTGCACGCAAATACATTTGCAGTCCCTACCTTAGTAGGTAGTATTTATCGGTGTTGAGATAGCTAGGTTCAAGGTCTGGGTGTCAGGAGTGAGAACGACTCAAGTCTATGAATTTGTAAAGGTTTTCGGACCGCAACTTGTCTCCGTGATCAGCCGTTAGTTGGCCCCACCTTTGCCGTAGCCTTCGGTCTCGGCTCCGCGTCTTAGCCACCGGTCCTTGATTAGAAACATCACTTCAACGACAAGAGAAAACTTTTGATGCTGAAGTGACGCATAGTTCCGTGGATTTGAGAATTTGCTTAACTGAGCTGTTTAGACTACCCTTCTTGTTATGGAGCATTGGCAGCGCGAATCCCGATGTTGCTCTTGCGGCCTCCTACTACTTCCGCGTAGGAAAATTGTGTCGTTGTGTCGCGGCTACCAGCTTTGTCGAGGCTGCTCAAGGTTCACGTTGAAACATTTTGCCCTTAACTTCTGCTTCATGAAAGTGTGTATTTCTAGGTCCAACTGTGACTCCCTCTTGACTTACACATGAGGTAGTTACTCTCTTAGTTCGCCAGTCAACATGTAGTCGACTCTCTGTCTTATCATCTTAGGTAGCCTCTTGCGGTATTTTTTCTAAGGAATAAACTTAGAGAGACTTGGCTCAAAAGAGACATGTTCATGATGATACCTTAGGTAATGACGAAGGGAATGGATTACCAAAGCAAGAGGAGCAACGCGAAGGGGATGCGAGCAAAATCAAGTCTCAGACCCATCACCAAACCGAACGCCGACCAAAAAGGCCCGAATAGCTTCAGCTACGACGCTGGACACATGACCATGGGGGGATCTATTCCGAGGAGTGGTCCCGTTTCCCAATTTAAACGCTGTAGCCCGCATCAGCCTGACCACAACCGGCCACAAACCTCGGGTGGCATCTGGACATGAAAGAGACGAAGAGTCCCAGGTTCGGAAGATCTAGTATAATGCCTCCAGGGTACCTTCTGGTGTAGGGATTTTTCACTACTGAAGGAGCCACAGCTGTACGACTTAGTCAAAAGCGGTCTTTGTGTTCTTTCACCTTTGACAGACGGATCTGTTCCGGCGCCAATGGCACTTCTGCCGATGCCTCAAAGAGTGAAGAAAAGGTTAAGAAGTGGGAATTGGTGAGAGGGAAGGGGGATTGTAAAATCAGTCAATTGGAATCTTGAACATCATCTAGTAGGACTCGGGGGTTTGTTGGACAAAAGCTGAGATGCACGAAAGGCTTGCTGGTCATAGATGACCTGTCGGCGATTAACCACGCGACCTACTGGAACAGGATTCATCGATGACATGACTTTATTGTCTAGCTGAGGCGGCCAGCTAATGCCTGGCCAAAATGTGTGATTGCATACTGCAAGTTCTTTGATCATTTGATCGGTAGCAGGCTACACACGCCAAGAGATGGTCTCGACATGTGTAATTGCATATTTCAGCGCCATGGGGAGATATTCTTTTGATCCACTACAGGACATGCAGGGAGCCATCAAGTACTACTTTCTCTCACCGAAGCCACGTTACACTCATCGGAGCAACGTGGCAGGCCTTCCTGGAGGCGCATCATTACTCGGTCTCAGTGTTTCACCTAACAGAACGATTGGTTGTGTAGACCTGAGTATGTAATTCGTACTCACCTATGTCTCGGACGCCTGACAGTAGGTATTCGTTTTGCGGATCGCTACTTGGCGTTAAACGAGCTACATTACAGCGCTCCAACTTTGAGAAGCCCATTACGTATGTGACCATTAAAACTCCGTATATCCTCCCTCGCCTTTGAATCAACAGCACGCCCCTCGCCCCAGAGTTCCGTTCAGAAGTCAAAACTTGAGAAAGTGTGAGCCTCCTGACAATTGTTCTCCTATCCGCCAGCCATGTCGACTTATGCATACGAAGCACTCCCGGATCCGAGAAAGTACATGAGGTTGCTGAAAATTCTCCCAGCCTGCGACACTGACCCGACAAACTCCGCGCGGAGGTGATTCTCTGCCCGCGCGAAGAAGCACCATCATACCAACCTCTGTCCTACACCTGGGGCCAGCAGGACGTGTCATGCTCAATATGGCTTAGAGATACCGGAGATTCTGCGTGGAAACCTTTCTCGATAAGACCGAATCTCGAGTCATGTCTCAAACAGCTTCGAAGGAAAGAAGCCCGCATCCTATGGATTGATGCGATCTGCATCAACCAAGCGGATGACGTTGAGAAGGGCCATCAGGTCGCAGCCATGGACTCGGTTTACAGATCGCAAAGCCTCGTGATATGTTTGGGAGAGTGGTCAGAGAATAGTGATATCGCCTTTGACCTTCTCCAATCATTTCGAGACTGCCTGGTCGCAAACGGGCACGAAGGGTTCGCTTGGTCCAGTCCGTTGTCAGACCAAGTCGCAAAAGCGGGGGAGCGCTTTGGGGAAAGCCGAACGGACAAAACATGGGCAGCATTTGTCGATTTGATCAATAGGCCTTGGTTCTCGCGGCGCTGGGCTGTTCGAGAGGTTGTCTTGTCTAGCCAGAAACACGCCCACTTGGGTAACCGGATCTTTCGTTTAGGCTATCTTGTTTGGCTCTGTGGGTTTCTTAAGCTAAAGTCCTACCATCTACGTAAAGAATTACTAGAGTATAGCGAACGCCGAAGAGTTCGCGGGAACCTTGTTCAAAATCATAAAAACCCGGCGCCACTCGTGGACCCTATCGATACCATTTACCGAGTCTGGCGAGCGTATAGCGCAGCTGCCAGAGGAGACAAATCATCTCTAACATTGGAGAGGCTTTTGGACAACTTTTCATCGCTCGATTCCTTTGATGCCCGGGACGGCATCTATGCGTTTTTATCAGTGGCCAGCGACATCGACACAGAGGAATAGTTCCCAGACTACTCAGACCAAGCTACAACTACGGAAATATATGCAAAAGCTATATTGCATATCGTACAAAAGACTGGCAGTCTAGATATCATCTGCAGACGCATACACGACAGGTCCTTCTCTCTCTCAGTCAACCATCCTTCCTCCTGGATTCCATGGTACGGTCTCCAGACCATCAACTTTACGCCGGATCATTCACATCGGTTCAATGGATACAATACAAGATCCTTGACGACATTCGGACAGCCTCTATCCGCGGTGAGGAGCGGCCAAGAAGGTTATCGCCCAAAATTCTGCCCGGGTCACAACAATCCTCGCAGGAGAGAGAAAATGGTTTGCGACGAATGCCACAGCGAGATACATGGCATCGGTTACGGGTGCGTCAAGTGCGAGAAGTTGGACTTTTGCTACAAATGCATTGACCCGGCAATAATTGAACATAATCCGACTCATCGAATCAGGACTCACAACAACGCCGTTTACTTCGCCTCTGGCCATTCCGTTGTATCTGTGCAAGGATACGCTTCTTTTCAAGCAAACCTTCGTGACGCCTGCTCGAAGTCAAAGAATCATCTGCCGTTCGTTGTTAGAGGCTTCTTCGTGGATAAAATAACGAAAATTGGCCTGGGAGGCATCATTCAGCGCCGTGTTAACGGATTTAGGGTCGATCTGCCTTGGGAAAATTGGACGCAATTGCTAGGATTGAATCAGGTCAATGGCCTCGAAAGTGAAGGAACTAAGAATGCAGCATTTCTTAGGGCGCTGGTAGGCAACAGGCTCTTATTAGAAGGGGAACGGGGTGTCTCCCACTTGCCCAATAAGGTTATGGAGATGTTATACATGAATATCGGCGAAGACAAATGGGCGTGCGATATGGAGCACCCGACTCAACTCTTGTCTTCGACGGAAGTTATGTTATCGAACGATCGAAGACTGGCAACTTCGGCAAAGTACCTGGGATTCGTGCCCCCTGAGACTAGAGCAGGAGATCGAATTGCTATTCTGATTGGATGTTCAGTGCCGGTTGTATTGAGGGATGTAGGACATCTCCACGGAATGCCCGTGTGGCAGCTGGTCGGGGAGTGCTACATTGATGGGATTATGGAAGGGGAATTCATCGATTTCGCAGACGAGAAGAACCTTGAACCAGAGAAAATTGTTCTCGTGTAGGGGGAGTACGATCTAGGCCAAATGTGACATGGTCGAAGCTTTGTTGCCATGGGTTTGAAGGGAATCAAAGGTTGAGTTAGATGTTTGACAGAAGATCAGGAATCGATGGCCCAAAGCAAATACCAAAAAACGCTCTATTGGGCATTCGCTCGAGTCATAACAATACCACCCAACTTCCTCAGACCATGAAATGTTGCAGTCGCGTTTCTGCAGGCTGTAAGCTAAGATATGAGGGAAAACTTAGGCATACATAACTCCAGACTCAGAACAGGGTCTCTCTGACTGAACTTGTCGGAGTGGCGGGAGCTTCCATCAACAGCAGGCAGTTGAAAAGCCTAGCATCAACCACCTGGACGCCTTATCGGCCAAGGCCTTGAACGTCGCGTCCGTATTGCAGCTCTACCTAGGAAAGAAAGAAGATGATCAAGCAAGGAGGGATGAAGATGCTCATCGTCATTCTCATTTTGGGAGTTTCAGTCTGTCGAAAACCGCTTGAAAGCCAGAAGTTTCCATATCACTATCTCCGGAGTGAGAGTCATGCTTAGGGTTGGAGATCACATCACAAAGAGTAACGTTTGGTGAGCTTGGGCTAATTCGTGGCACTGGTAGATGGGACATCGTGATCCATATGTTGTTCTACTCATATCTCCAGGGGCATGCACACCCATCAGTATTGTCTTTGTTAAGAGCCCAGCCCTCGTGTGGCCACGTAGGGGTGATTTCTGTATATAGAATCTAAGCTGACGAGAAGAGATTTACAAGCGGAGCTTCCGCGGAGGTGGAGCGTAGGCGTAATGGAGCCCGCGCGGTCAATCGTGGCAGAATATCCGGGCGTTGGCCCGGATCCATTAATCGGGTCCAGCCCGTAACAGTCTTGTCTTCATTGAAACTATGTGCTTTTCATCGCTAATGTATATGGGGAACTCGCCCTCAACTAGCTCTTAACCTGGTAAGATGTTCAAGGAACTTCCACCTTACTGACGATGTTGTCAAGAATCTCGTGGTGTCAACCGTAGGTAGCGTGAGCGATTTCTCCGACAAATAAAGCATAAAGATGGATGAAGCCCTTGCTTAGTAGTCAGCAAAGCCTTCGGACATACACATCGCTGGATGGCTTACACCGAGTTCATCAACCTAGACACTGGGTACCTGCAGAATCAGCGCCTCTTCTTAGCTCGCCTGAGACCTAAATCTTGCATCAGATGGCCCAAGTTACACGTGACTGCTTAAACAAGAAGTAGCAGCTCCCAAGCCTTGTGTCAGTCATATTTGTTGACCCCTCCCTATCGTCTAAAGCTCACTGGTCCGACTTGTAGTTGGTCTGGTCCCCGCTGAACAAGGTGTGGTGGAAGTGAGGTGGAACCGCCATGGGGCGCCCAATCGGAGGCGAACTGGCAGGGTAGTTTCAGGCTTGGCCGTCCCAAATAATGCAAAATTCCATTGCTAGTGATGCCCTGCGATGCTGTAAGCCCCTTGTCTCGGTGATACTTCTCGAAGTCGAAGGTGAGGCCGAAGGCTGGCAGAGTGCAGAACGCCCGGCCTTGGTAGACGATTCAGAGCTGATGCCTCGCTTACGACTTGTCTGCCGAAGGAATCGTCTGGTCGGTAAGAAGAATCGACTCTAGCTTGTTGTTGGAATGTTCCGTAGGACACTGTGATTTGTATTCAGTATGTGTTTCTTAGGAGAGCTGCGAGGCAAGGCGTGGAGCCGAAATACGTGCACCGCGGCTCGTGAGTGGCGGCAAACTCATTCGACTTGTACGATTCCCGTCGCAAACACGGAAAGTATCGGACAAGGACTCATCTAGTTTAATGGGGAATTCAGGTATGCGTGGCGCTCCTGTTCGGGTGACGGTTCGATGCTGGTTGATCAGTACGGATAGGGGAGGTGAACGAGGTGGTGTTACCGGTGTGGCATGGCGTGTTCGATGGGCCTAAGTCAGCAGGTCGGGTGCTACCTGGGACGGCCTGCGAGTGTGCTAGACGGTGATCCAGGTGCGGGGGAAATCAGCCTCTCTCGTACCCTGACGACGTGGCTGGCGTGCCCAGACAACGACACCCCCTAAGGGTCCAGAGGGCCGATGGAATATATCGGATTGAAGCTAAGAGATAGGCGAAATGTTCGCCATGGACTTTTGACAGGAGCTGCGGACCCGAGTCTGCGAACGAGGTCCATAGTGGTGATTTTGGACGGTTGTGCGGTGCCATGGTCGGTCCAGCCCCTGGGTTCTTGGTGCTGTCTGGTGCTCTTGGTGTGATCTGGGATGGATTCTTGGGGCCGTGCCTTTGGCAGGTGGAAAGGCCGGTGGAAGGCGTCCAAGAGGACGGTGTTGGGGGCTTATCTGGCCGTGGCGAGGATGCCAACACCGATATTACAACTTGGCGGGTGCTTGGTACCAGTGTTGAACTGTCGATAAAAGCTGCCAAAAGTTGCCAACCTGTTGGCGATGGTTGGCATTTCTCGGCTGGCGAGTGAAATGGCGCATATTTGTGGATTGTGCAGCGTTTGTCTCTGGGCTGCCGGGGGAAATGTGAGGGCAGGTGGTGCTTTGGCGCTATTTGGGGGCAGCCGTGGGAGTCTCGGGGAAGTATCGGTCGTGTACCCGCTCGGAAGGGTTGTTCGTTCATTTCAATTTGCGAATACGCAATCGCGTGTGTGATTCTGTGTTGCCATCTTCAACGTTGACTGGCCTGAAGGTGATGTTCTTGGTTCGGCCAAGGGCTCGGCAGGCGCACCAAATCTGCAACCGCAAATGAGAGAGATGTACGCGAAGTAGAGAAGCTGGGAGGACGAGAATGGCAGTTTATCGGAGGCCTTGCGTAACCAGCGTTTGATGTGGCCATCGTTCTTTGCTTCGTCGTTTTGACAGTCTTGTTGTGGCGTGCGCGTGCCTAGATACAGAGCATGGAATAAGGTGAGTTTTTGACGATGAAATGCCATTGTCGGTCACGGGTGATGCCATGGGCGGCGGGTGGGCGCAAGTACGGCCGGCAGTTGCTTGGCGGGAGACGCGCTTGTCAGACGGAAGTCATGCCGGGAGGGAAGATGATGGCTGCATTCGTCCTGGCCGGAATTTGTGAGGCATGAGAGCGGCGCAGTTGATAGAAAACATTGTGTTCGTAGACCACGCGTGCCTCTCAATTATTCCATTGGTAGGTAGTCATGAGTAGAAGGCAGGTGCGTCTGGGTCCTTCGCACCTTCCCTTCTCTCCCGCTCCTTCCAGGCCACCACCACCCGCCAGTTCCTCCTTCCTCCATCTCCCCCGGCTGCCTTACCTAAGCACATACTGAGGTACACTGTACACAGTACTTCCGAGGTCCCACACCTCTCCGCCAAGATCGACGCCCCCCCGCCGCCCCTAGAAGGCGCGGAACGACCTTAGGGACCTTCCATGCAGCTGTCCGGGCGGGCTCCGCTGATAATGGCAGCTACGACTGCGGTACGCAAAGGTACCTCTCATGATGCTTCCCCTCCTTCCCACCAACACCGACACCATGTCAATCCAACATGCTCGACCCGTCGTGTTCCTCACTTCTCTTCAACGTCAACTTCCAACGCCCACGCCCACCACCATCCCATGATCGTTCTAGTCGCCCTCTCTCGAGCCCAGCTTGCCAGCACCCAAGACTCTAATCGATGAGTCGGCAAGTTGTCAATCATAAGCTTCCCTGAAGCTCGACTTGCACCTTCTCTTCTCGTCTAGCACCCCGTCTGCTTCACTCCACTTCCCCGAGACTTGGCCTTCCTCTGGCCCTTGGCATACACCCATCTTACTATCCCGGGACTGTCCGTCCCTCCTCTAAGGCCTATCACTCGTCGATGAACGCCCTCGGCTTGCGTCTACGTTGCCCTGATTCCGCCCGCATGCCTTCGCCGCAGATAGCCATGTCCAAAAGTAGCTTCTCGGCGCGACAAGGCGACGCCGAAGGGGATGTGAGGGTAGGGAGAGCCTGTTGATGTAGGATGGGCGACGAGGTTGAGGTGGTATTCTTCTCTGAGCGATCGACCGTGTCTTCTTTTTAACTCACCGCGTCCCCGCCCTCGACCGCGATCGACTTTCCCCTCTCCTCGTACTTCACCACAATCTACTACTTTAGGCCCGCCTGATACCCTCCCTTGCACTTGGTGCCCCTGGGCCTCCGATCCCATAATTCGATCAACATCAGCCATTTGTTTCTCGAAGGGCTTCGACCACATCTCTGTCATCTTCTGTGTGCAAACTGCAGCGGAGAACAAGGCAAACCCCTACAGCGCCATCGCCGCCCCAAAATGGCGACCGAAAAGGACGTCCATGATGGTGTCTCGACGCCCGAGACTACCCAAGTCCAACCCGAAAGTCGTGCCGAGGGCCATGCAGTCCTGGGCAAGCCTGGAAACGCCATTGGCGATGGCCATCTCAGTCACGGAGGTGCGGTGCGCGACGAGGACTTCTACACCCGTAATGGACTCAACTTCGAGTCCTTCAAGCGCCGAGACTATGGACACGGCATCGTCGAGCTCGATCGTACCATGAAGACTCGCCACTTGCACATGATTGCTATTGGTATGGAATTAAGACGAGGTCCCCATGTGTGCCTTTGCTAACGTTGTCATCCGCTCAGGTGGCTCCATTGGTGCTGGTTTCTTCGTCGGGTCTGGAGGTGCTCTGGCTACCGGTGTTTGTTCTACTATAGCTTACGAGTACTCGAATGTCGTGCTGACCGAACTCAGGGCCCCGGCTCCATTCTTCTCGACTTCTCGATCATTGGTATCATGATGTTCAACGTCGTCTACGCACTTGGTGAACTCGCTGTCATGTACCCTGTATCCGGTGGCTTCTACGTATACTCGACTCGCTTCATCGACCCTTCTTGGGGCTTCGCGATGGGATGGAACTACGTCTTCCAGGTAAGCCCTTACTTTTCAGCCTACATGAGCCTCCATCTAGTATCCCGACGTATCTGACTTATGAATCACAGTGGGCCATTGTCTTACCTCTCGAATTGACGGTATGTGGTCTCACGATCAACTACTGGGAAGGGGCCAGAAATATCAGTCTCGCTGTTTGGATTACCATCTTCTGGGCTGCAATTACCTTCATCAACGTCTTTGGAACTTTGGGATACGCCGAGGAAGAATTTTGGTCATCCCTTCTTAAGCTTTCGGCCATCAGTAAGCTCCCATTTTCAGTGGCATTTCAAAGTACTTACACCTTCTGTAGTCATCTTCATGATTGTGGCTCTGGTCCTCGTGTGCGGCGGTGGCCCTGCTGGTGGTCGTTATGATGAGTACTGGGGTGCGCGATACTGGTACGACCCTGGCGCATTCAAGAACGGATTCAAAGGATTCTGCGCGGTCTTTGTCACTGCTGCATTCTCTTTTGCCGGTACCGAGCTCGTTGGCTTGGCCGCTGCCGAATCCAGCAACCCCTTGAAGTCCTTGCCAGGTGCCATCAAGCAGGTCTTCTGGCGTATCACCCTGTTCTATATCCTCGGTCTCTTCTTTGTTGGCCTCCTCATCAGCTCAAACGACGAGAACATTCTTGGTGCCGACAATCCTTACGCCGAGGGAACATCGCCGTTTGTATTGGCCGCCAAGTACGCTGGCTTGAACGGTTACGACCACTTTATGAACTCCATCATCTTGGTGTCAGTCCTATCATTGGGAGTTTCGTGCGTCTATGGCGGCTCCCGTACTCTGACGGCTCTTGCGCAACAGGGCTATGCCCCCAAGATCTTTACCTACGTTGATAAGTCTGGCCGCCCTCTGCCCTCTGTTGCTGTCCACCTTGTCTGCGGCGCCCTTGCCTATATCAACTTGGACGCAAGTGGCGAGACGGTCTTCAACTGGCTCCTCGCCATGTCAGCGCTCGCTGCTCTGTTCACTTGGGGGTCCATCTGCTTGGCTCATATTAGATTCCGCAAGGCTTGGGCTTACCACGGACACACTGTCGATGAGATTCCTTTCAAGGCTGCATTTGGTGTCGCCGGGTCCTGGGTCGGGTTGATTCTATGCATCCTTGTACTCATTGCCCAGGTAAGCTTTATCCTTCCCAAACATCGCATGCCTAATTCTTTTGTACCTTGACTGACTTCCAATGCAGCTCTTCGTTGCAATCGCACCCGCCGGACAGGGCAACGAGCTCAATGATGCCGCTGGATTCTTTGAGGCTATGGTTACTGTTCCTGTTATCATTGTCTTCTGGGTCATTGGCTTCGCCTGGAAGCGCACTGGCTGGCTCCGCACCCACCAGATGGATGTTGATACCGGACGTCGCGAGCTCGACTGGGAGGAGATGAACCGCTACAAGGCCGAGGTTGCTTCTTGGCCTACGTGGAAGCGCGTGTACAACAGGTTCTTCTAGACCTGTGCTAGCGCCACAACACCCAAGGACACGCCTGTGTTGTTTCTTGGCAGCAAACAAAGCACTATCTCACAGCTAAATACACAATGGGCAATCTGGGCGAAGTTTAGTTTCAGTATTTATCACAAAGCGAGGTAGCAAGTGGAAGACATGTGTAGTAGAAAGTGGCTTGATTCCTCTAAGTGGAAGATCCGTATGAGGGTCATATCTATATACCGTACAAGACGGGTAATCGGCTTGTGGAAAGCGGTATCGTACGGCAGTAACCGGCAGCGCCACGTGTGGCGCTGCGACAGTATTTTGTACCTAGATACCACACGCAGCCTATGGCTCTTACCAATCTGACTTTTCATTAAACTGAGGGTCAACTACTCTCATCTCTTGGGTAGACTTTCCATCTGACCGTCATCCTCAGCTTCGTTATTTGAACTTCTTGTGCAACCTAACCTGACGTGCCATGGACTAGACAGCACGAACGGGAAACATGGTTGCCAACTGCAAGGAAGTCTGGTCGCTATTGATATTGCTGTTGCAGACGATGATTCTCACTCCTAAGAGAATAGCCCGTCGAGAGTTCAGGCCTATGGATGGATAATTAGACCGCGAAAAAATTGCAGGGGTAGTCAACGCAGTCTGTCTGCCTGTCAGGAAGCCTCTGGGGCTCGAAACCCTATGCGATATGTGTGTGGGCTAGCTGTGAGGGTGTGTATATGGTACGTTGGAAGTACATAGCTAATCGTACGGAGTACCCAGGGTAGTGTTGCATGCAATCTTGGCTAGTATGCGAGAGAAGTTGTCTAGAATGTTTCAACTTCCCGCCGTTTTGGGTCCGAGGTAGCTACGAGCATCCTGCAGGCGATGCAGCGAACGATAAGCTCGGCGATCTGGGCGCCATGCCTGGGCGGCTTGTCAATGCTAAGGACTCGAGAGACTACCCAAGACTGCCAGTAAGCTTGGGCTAACTCGGAGCTGGTGGGCTATTGGATTCGGTTCGCTCCTATTTCTTGTAGAAGCTAGCTGTAAGTGCGCTGATGGTTGGGTTCTCGAACCAAATTGGCCCATTCATAGTGAGTCCATAATATGTGTGTGCTATAGATCATTGATATACGAAAAGTCATCCAAATGGAAAGTTGACCTACAGCCGGTAGCCTATCTCGTTTCTCGGCAATGCCTAGGAAGTCACCAGAAGAAACGAAGATCGAGGCTTTCCCACAACGACCGTCATGATCAGACCAAGGTTCCCTTTCACTCCAACGAGATCCCGAAACCACGGAAAACCACATCCTCGCACCGTTTCAAGAAATCAAGAACATCAGCCTCAGTATGCCAAGCATCATTAAACGCAGCGCTAAGACAGAGCTCGCCCCTGAAGGTACCCAAGAACAGACCTAGCCCGTTCCCCAGCTCCTCGCCAGTAACCCACGGGTCATAAGCCTCGATCGCACCCGTCTTGGGCGCGATGATGCCGTCGACGCGGCCCATGCTGGAGATGGACACCGAAGGATGTTCCTTGGGCGGCGGCACGGGGAGCGGGTCGGGAGATAGAGGGACCGTGGGGTTCCCGGCGGCCCAGATTGTGGAGGCGAAGGCGTAGTGCTCTTTGTCGTCTTTGACGCCGTGGTAGAAATCCTTCATTATCTGGACGACGGGGAGGAATTCGTTTTTGTTATTGGGTGCGTTGGCATCGTCGCCTGAGGCGGGGAGGTCCATGTCGACAACGAGACTTTGCCCTGGGACGGAGTGGTACAGCGCCGCGGGGTGTTTGGGGGAGTTGAACGGCGGCTGGCAGCTTGCGCGCTCGTTGCGGAGGATGTAATTCACGTAGCGCACGCGTTTCGCCTCTGGGCCGCGGGTAGATGGTGGTTGGATGTCGCGGACGACGAGGGCGATGGCGGCGTGGAAGGCGTGTGTGACTGTCGCGCCGGCTAATTTGCATGCTGCTGTGAGGCGGGCTGTTTGCTCTTCCGTGAGAGTGATTGCGACGCGCTGGTGGCGGCCGGGGAGGAGTTTGCCGCGGCGGTAGGGCATGTCGATGATTTGGATGCCGGATGGGGGGTTCATTGCTGCGGATTTCTGGGCGGCCATAGTGGCTAGGCGTTCGGTTTGGGAGTGGGTGAGGGTTGGGGGGACGTTGGCTGCGATGCGGTAGGGGGGGCTGAGGTTTGCGGCTTCGGAGCCGGTGAAGGATAGGGGAGTGGGGGTGTTGGGCGAGGAGAATGCTTTTGAGGCGTGGGTCATGAGGTTGTTTAGGAGGGTTAGGGTACCGATGCCGTCTATGATGTCGTGGGGGGAGCGGAGGACGAGGTCGCGGCGGATGAGGTTGGTGGTGGGGGATGGCGGGCTGAGGACGAAGAGAGTTGGGATCTTTGGGGCTGGCGGCTGTGAATTGGCCCATTCTACGCCGGGTTGTCCGGTAGTAACAGAGACAAGAGTCTTTTTGATCCAGGACTGCTGGTCGGCTTTGTCTTTGAGTTGCTGGTATGTCTTTGTCCATTTGCCTGTTGTAAGGTCCCGGGTGACTTGCGAGGCGATGGTGGGGTGATCGTGACGCAGGGCCAGCCAAGCATTTCTCAGAGCTTCATCGACGCGTTTCTCGGCTTCACAGTGGTCGTTGATGCTGGTGATGTCAAAGGTGAGGGAAATGTGGCCGGTGATGGCGAAAAACACGAGGCCGCTGCCCTCGTAGAGGATGGGCATGGCGGAGTAGAACTCCTCGACCTCATCGATGCTTCGCTGCCATGTTCCAGGTGACGTCTGAGTCCAGACGAGTTCGGGGTAGGGCGTATCCATGGCTGAGGGGGGAATACTCCAAGATGTTTGTTGTTCACAATGAAACATAAACAGCTGATGAGTGATGGTAGCGGGGTACCAGATCGTCAACCTAGTACATATAAAGTCAGCTTGATGGACGTCGTCGCTCTTATACCTGGACTCACCCATGTCAGAAATGTCTAGAGCCGCAATGTCGGGACCGTAGCCGGTGGAAAAACTCATCGCACTATCGTGAGAATGCGTTAGTTCTTCGATCGGATGTGCGGCGTATTCGGGTTGAGATGTCACACAGTTCCCCATTGCTGGCTGTGATGCCCGATCGGGACATGCCCCCCCGCAGACCCCTGGTCTCACTAAACCGCGCTACTGGTCCACAACGCCCCGGGGTTTAGCCACAGCGGAAAGCATGTCCCGCCCCAGCAAAGGATGGCCATGAGTGGCTACAATTATCCAGAGTTCACCCGGGGACAACCTCTAGTCATCGTCTCGATTCCCAAGACCTGTCACCCCGTTGTTCTGGGCTTCAAAGGAGCAATCTCGCAGTAAGCTTTGGGAGGGAAGATGCGAGAAGGAAACGTATACTCGTAAAGTTACCTGGCTACCTCAAGTAAGGTAGCAGGCAAGAGCAGACACCTCGATCCTTGCGACAAAGAATTGGGCACAACACCAGTCATTACCGATTTTTTCCCCTATTTGCATTTCGAATTAAGAGGGTTGACTTAGTGAGCATGACCAATCGATTAGATAAGGCCTAATAAAAGCCAAGGACGAAGAGAAAAAGAAAGTGAAATGAACACAAAGAAGATGACTGCATGGAGACTCGAAAGCTAAATTTACAGGAACGCGGTAGCGCTGCTGAACAGGCTTAGACTATTACTGGCTTAAGCTTCTGGGCAACTTTCCATTTTTTGCTGTTGTGACTTTCCGAAGTGAACCAACTTATAGCCCATCCTGCGCTGGTGTGGTCAGCAGCACGTGACTGGTCTCCGGCTTCACCCTCACCATCCAGACAGTTGCTCACCAGGCTGCCATACTTTTCATAAGTGATTCACTGTTGGAGAGTGACTGTTCACCTTGTTACCTTCCATTCTGAAGTAAAACTTCACCCCTTCGATCTTCCATCAACCCCGTCTTTTCCATCGACCCTTTCTCTTTTATCAACCTCGTCTCCCTAATTCTTTCTCATCTGACACAATTGCCTCACGGGATAAGCCCAAAAGCCTATCAGGAACAGCAATATCGTCGAACAAGGAGGATTTTACTCTCCCATTGCTACCTGCAGACCCTACAAAGAACACCCTGTAGGTACTGATCGCTACCTACCACGCGATGTGTGATCTGACCTTCCATGAAACAGCTCGGATGCCCACGACGATCTTGAGGTAGGCGGTCTCAGAGATGACCAGGAGGGCGATGCGATGAGCCCTCACATCAACTATTCCAACCACCCCAATGTCAAGGCCCTACCGGGACTTGACTTCGGCGTTGGAGATGGTGTGCCAATTCTGAATCGACGTCATTCCGGTCTTTTCCGCCGTATCGTGCTTCCACAAGACGCATCCAACAATCCGCGCTCTGCGCAAGGCACCAAATCCGTCGCCAGTCGACTTCAAGCTGTGTTCCAGGCAGCGATTCGCACCTACGAGGAGAATGATGGGGTCCCGACGATGAGAAACCTTTGGACTTCTACCTTTGAGAAGCTTCGTCTCTCTGACAAAACCTGGGACTTCGATATTTCCTACAGGAACACTCCCGTTATCATTTACAAGATCACGGCAGCCCGCAGTCGGTTTCTGAACAGCGATGCCGACAAGTCGTCGATCCCTGCGGAGTTCTTCGAGTTCCTCCATACCATCGACACCTTCATCCTAAAGGTCGAATCTAGCATCGGCAAGAACAGTCAGTCTTGATCAATGATGTGAAAAAGTAGGATGAATTGGCTAATGATTTACATAGAAAGCAATCCGTTGAAGAAGAAGCGTCCCCACGACGACGAGACTGAAGAGAGCCAGCATGCGCTGAAGAGGACCCGAGTCGCAGATGTATACGAAGACATTGAGAAGAAGACTAAGGAGGAGCAGATTCAATACTGGAAAGAGACGGCGTTGGGTCTAAAGAAAGAGCTTGAGGGACGGGATGAGGCGTTCGAGGGACTCAACAAGCTCCTTCACGAGATGAAGCACCACGAGAATCGGAGCAATCTGGAGTTAAATAACTTTGTTTCTCATCTTTGGGACGAAGCTCTTCCTCAGATCAACAGCAAGCAGAGACAACAGGGCAAGGCGGAGTGGGCTTCATCCCAGCTCCAGAGGTACTTGAGAGCTACTGGATCGAGCAACATTGCTGACGCTATGCTTGGCATCTGCGACTTTGCTGATCGTGAACACATGTAGCTGTAGGATACTGTAATGTTGGATTATCAGGTAGCAACGATGATGTAGTACGAGGTTACATGAGCTCAATTGCATCTCGTGATACATCATTCACAATTGGCCACCGGCACTCAAAACATTTCTCACCTACAAATGGTGAGGATTAAATTCCGTTCCAAGTAATTGAAGCTTGCGATCCAAGAGAGTACAGACGTTTACAACAAAGGGGTAAATGCCAGTCGAGCAAAAACAACTAGGAAAAAGAAAACAGCTCCTCCACAGAGGGTCGAACAAAAGATCAAGCGAACAGTTGTCTGTGGCTCAAGGACTTTCAAGTTAGTACTAAGACTCCCCTATCATACCCTTCGGCCATTTTTCCCAGATCACTTGTTGACAAAAGTGAGGAACATGTGACCTAATTACCCTCCCCCTCAGACATTGCAATAATTCGTCTACACCAAATCAATTTACTACCTAGGCCACCCGACTGAGACCTCATTCTGCCATGCCCGCATCTCGTGAATATCAATTTCCATTCCATAGACGCCCATTCAATCTTTCTTTCAAGAATGCTCATCTTACGGTCGAGCCATCTTTTTTACGACCCACGCCAAGAGTATCGCCCTTACAAAGTATTTTACCTCAGATTTCTGCATAACTCAAGACATACGATTCTTCAACACGATGTAGCATCAATATGGCGTCCTAGAGCCATCGACTCTTCAGGGTGCAAAAGGTTTTCCGCACGCGAGACCACATATACGAGTACCGTGTATGTGAGCGTCCTCTATTTATGTCACGACTTCATTCTGTTCTCAGGAAAACGATATTGAATGGGAAGGACTTGTAATATCTAACGACTATTTTTTTCAATCTAGGTTGTACAACCGATAACTACACGATCATGAGAAATTTATATCGTCTAAACCTGAGCGGAGAGGTTGAACTATGCCATAATAAGGTAGAAAATCAAACAGATCAACACTCCAACGAATCCAAATCAAGCTCCTCTTTCCTCCTACGAATCAACAGCGTCGCCGAAGGATCAGGCAACAGAACCATACCGTGCGGCATCGACTGCGGCTTAAACCCATCAGGGAACTTCCAATCATACTTGAGCAGCAAATGCGCCAGCGCAATCTTGACCTCGTTGGCGGCGAAGAAGCGTCCCGGGCAAGCGTGCTGTCCGTGGCCGAAGCCGGGGTGCTTGGCGCTGGTGCTGACGAGGTGCGAGTTCTTCTCCTCGTTGGTGCCGCGCATGTTGAGGAAGCGGTAGCCGTCGTAGGTGGCCGGGTTCTCGTAGTAGTTTGCGTCCCACATGTGGACGTTTGTGGCGATGATCTTTTGGCCCTTGCGGAGGACGAAGCCGTTGGAGAGGGTGATGTCCTTCTTGACGAGGCGGCGCCAGGTAGCTGGTAGGAGACGCACGTTAGCGGAGTTTGGTCACCAGTTGTGTGTGGAACTTACAGAGAAGGACGGGTTTCATGCGCTGGGACTCCTTGATGACGCTGTCCATGAGCTTCAGGTTGTAGAGCGCTGTCTTCTTCAATCCCTCAGCGCCGAGCACGCGGACGAGCTCGTCACGAAGAGGCTGGACTAGCTCAGGGTGCTCCGCTAGATCAATCATGGTCTGCGTAAGCAAATCGGTCGTGGTGTGAATCGCGACGAGCGACAAGGAGATCTGCGTCGTAGCCGGGTCACGCTTCTCGGAAGACTCCTTCTCGAACCACTCAATGGCATCATCAAAGACGTCCTTGGTCTCGCCGCGCGCCAGGGCTTCGGCCTTGATGCGATCGCGGCGCTGGATGTACGGCTTGAGGGTCGTGCGGGCCTCGGCGAGGAGGGAGCGGACGCGCCAGCAGGAGGGGAGGAACCAGTGAACATAAGGTCGGGACCAGCGCGGCCACTGGCCGACTTCGTAGCCTACCCCAAAGGCGGCGGCGGTGTAGTCTGAGGAGACGCCGACCCAATCTTCGTTGCGGCAGAGTTCCTCGCCCGCGAATACTCGAGTAGACAGGCGTGAAACGATGCGCATGATGTCTTGCTGGGGGCTGATTTTGTGCCATTCTGTGTATGAATAAGAAGGTTATTGATAGCTCGAGGGTTATGATGCCGGGGTAGGAAGTTTCGAGTATTGGACTCACCAGTCGAGTCAGAGAGGACATGACGGAGGACGAGCGCTGATTCTTGGGATAGGGGCATCGTAAGTTTTGCTGTTCGAACATAAGATTAGCACAGCCATTTGAGCATTACATCTGATTGCGGGACGGTTGACAACTTACTCAAAGCCTTGGTCAAATACTTTGTAACGACCGTTGAAATTGAATGATCGCCATCAAAGGGCTCGAAGCCTGGAATATAGCCGTGGGAGTCCTTTTTAAAAAAAGTCAACACTCTGACAAGCACCGAATAGACAAAAGACATTCGCCTCACATCTCTAGCCGGCTCTTCAAAAGCAAGGTTGGGGTCACTGCGCAGTTCCTGGA